CCCTTTAGCTTAGCTAACGCACCTAGTACTTTTTAATATTTTATAAATAACTTACTCTAACTCTACCTAGACATGTTCTGCACTATATATATTAATAATATTCTAATCTACAGTAATAGCCTTTTAGAGCATAAATAGCATGTACGCCTAGTGCTAAAGGCTATAGAAGAAGCAGGTCTGTAACTTAATGTAGATAAATGCAAGTTCTACTAATTAAAGGTTATGTATTTAGAATATGTAATCTTTATAGATAGCATTTAAATAGACCTTATTAAAGTTTAAACTGTGCTAGATTAGTAATACCTAAAAAATATAAAAGATGTTTAAGCTTTTATAAAATTTACTAACTTTTACTAATAATTTATTAACAACTTTTTATAGCTAGTAAGCTTTATAATTACACTTACTAAAAAAAAAGTTTAATTTAACTTTAACTTAAATTACTAATAGTCTTTTAACTAGCTAAAAAAAGCTTTTACTAAAGCTTTAATACTCTACTACTTTAACTTTAAACTACTAATACTTGTAGAAGCTAATGCCTTAGACTACATAGTAGCAGAAGTTCTCTTCTAGACTAAGCTAGATAGGACTATTAGGCTTATTACATACTTCTTAAAAAGAATAAGTCCTATAGAAGGTAATTATAAGATCTATAATAAAAAATTACTTGCTATAGTACACTACTTTAAATAATAGCAACCTAAACTAGAAAGTGCAGCGCATTTAATACAGGTTCTATTTAACTATAAGAACTTATAGTACTTTGTAACTATAAAATAACTTAGCTACTAATAAGCCTATTAGTTTAAATACTTATTTTATTTTAATTTTAAGATTACTTATTATCTTAGTTAAAATAAAGGGAAACTAGATGCTTTTATAAAGTAATTCTAAAACATCTTTACTTAAAAAAAAGTGTAAAAAGCTTAACACTAAACTTTACTTTAACTTAAGCTATTTTTAGACCTTAACTTAAATAAAATAGATTAGATAATTAATTAAATTATTACTAATAAGTATCTAAATAATAAATTTATTTAAAAAACTTTAGACTTACTTTAAAACAGCGCTAGTTAGTTAAAGAAGGTAACACTAGCTAACTATAAAAACTAAAATAGTAAGCTATATTACTATAACTAACTTATAATCTTTAATTTTAATAAACTAAGAATTAAACTACTCTAAATTATACATAACTTGCCTGTTAGAGGACACCTAGGCAGAGAAAAGACTCTTAACCTACTATAGAAAGAGTACTACTAGCCCTGCATGTTCTATACTGTACGCTAATACATATTATGTTGCTATACTTGCTGTAAAGTAAAGGCCTTTTAAAAAAGGTATAATAGCCTGCTTAAACTACTTCTAATTTTTAAATAAGCTTAAAAAGACATATTAATTAATTTTATTATAAACCTACTTTTATTTAAAAAGTATATAAATATTATAGTAGTTATTAATTACTTAACTAAGTATTAATACTTAATACTATATTTCTTTATAACTGCTCTTAATATAGCCTAGTTATTCTACTAATACATATAAGTTTACTATAGCCTGCCTAACATAATTATATTAGATAGAGGTACATAGTTTGTCTTAGCCTTTTAGAATAAACTTTATAAATAGCTCTAAATTATCTTTTATCTATCTATAGCTTTTTACCTAGAGACTAACAGCTAGACTAAAAATATAAACACTATAATAAAATAAGTTTTATAAGTGTATATAAACTACTAGTAAGATAACTAGGTAAAATAGTTAGCTATAGCATAGTTTAAAGCTAATAATATAACATTTAAATTAACATAAGTATCTTTGTTTTTAGTAAACTATAAATACTACTTTTAAATAGAATTTAAACTACTTATAAATACCCTCTAACTAACTTATTAATTTATATAAGTAATAAACATAAATAGACTTATTAATAAAATTTAAAATATATTTAAATATGTTTATAAAAAGCTTACATAGGCTTAAGCTCTTTAATAAAAGTACATAAACTAATTCTAAACTTCTGCCCCTGCGTATGCAGCTAGTAAGAAGGTCTAGCTAGACACTAGAAATATCTAAATAAACTAATAATTAAAGAAACTTAATTAGAAGAACTTTAGCCCCTTTACAGTAGCTTATATAGTTTTATTATACACTTACTAATTAATCCTACCTAACAGCATAAAGATACACCCTATGTTCTACATATTATTGCTGCGCTAAGTAGCTTTTAAATTTAACTATCTACTTAGATAGCTAAACCTGCTACCTAAACCTATTATTATAAATAATAAACTAAAATATGTTATAAAAGACATTAAATAAATTTAGTTTAATAAAAAGAAACATATTTATAAATACTTTATAAAATAGACTAGATATAATAAACTGTTATAAGAACTTATAAAAGCTCTATAAGAAAACTTTATAGTAACTTAATTTTATGCCTAATACCTATCTAAACTAAACTTGTACCCTAATAAAGACAACTTAATGCTAGAACTACTAATGTAAAGGATTCCCTTCTTAATAAAAGGGGGGGGTACTGTTACAGTATCCTCCCTAGATCCTAGACATAACTATATTAGACGTGTACTAGAGTATTATTAGTGCATATCTAATATAAACATAACACAACATAGACATAAACTTAAGCATAAACTACTTTAACACTAACTAAACTTAAAATAGGCTTAATTTATACCTAAAGTGCTTAGACTTTTAAGCTAAGTATTTAATTACTAATTTTTTTTTAAACTTTCCTGTTTCTTACACAATGTCTTGTACCTACTATAATACCTCACATAGTAATTAAACTAGACCTCTGTGAAGCTCTATAACCTTACTCGTGCACAATCGTGACAGGCGCACTAAAGTCTTTTAGATAGAAGGAGCTTTAAGAAAATTATAGCTTCTAATTAGTTTAAAAAACACTTAGTAGACTGTAAGAAAACAGCTTTACTTTAAGGAGTATAGTGTGGCGCTAATCAAAGCCTTGACCGTCTGAGCTCGCTGAGATAACATCAATCCTCTGTGCGGTGCTGCACATCTCTGTACTTTTCATTCTAAGGTGCTGTCGAGAAACATCCATGGATGACATCACGAATGAGGAAACTCAACATCAATCTACTGTCAGCCCCTAGTCACAAGTAACTCTACCCAAACCAGAAAGCCGTGTTGGTCTTTCATCAGTCGCCGGAACGTGAGGGTCACTGGGTGGAGCCCCTGGATTTGAATGGAATGGAACTTGGTATCGCAAACTCCCTGTATGTACGCAGAATCTTGGCTACTTCAATGAGACCATGGACGAGTTCGAGACTGCTCTCGAAATGGATGGGTCGATGCGAGTAGCACGAAGTAGACTTGCCTATCTCTATAAACAGGACTAATATTATAAACCAACCATCTATCATGAGTTGATGAATGGCGAGGTTCTAGTCTAGGTGGATCAATCCGCTTCGAGCAACAACATTGTGATCCGCAGGGAGCTCTACTCGTCATACGAAAGCATTGCATTGAAGTTGAAGGATATTGAACAAGCCGTAATGTATTGGCAGAGAGCATTTGAGACTCGAGGACTTGCTACCTTGGCCTCCTTGAGGGATCCCCAAAGCAAAGCAGATGGGCAGAAATCGTCGACCTGCTAAAGGCATTGGAAATCCAAAGAACGATAGGCGGTTTGAATAATCCGAGAGCGTTTTGTGCAGAACACACGCCCAGGAGAAAACCCTGCCCCTCCCCCTAGCTTCGTCTACATCGTCGCTTCTGCAGCGAAAGAAACGGACACCATATCGTGGCGCAGAGCTACCATACAAGGCTGCTATATCATTCGCCAAGATTTATCTGCCTACCCTAGAGCTGAAGCTATGTCTCAGATTGTTACAGGTGAGGTTTAGGTGAGCATTTGGAAGCACAGCCACTAGTATAAGAGATTGCGCTCCTACTAGTACTAGGCTAGGCATGCAAAAATTCCTAACTTGGAACTATGCGAGAAGCTTCCCGCCTAGGATTCTGCCGGAATTTGTGTTCGGAAACCGACTGTGTGTCGCCCTCAATCTCCTGAGGCGGATGCGATTATCTAAGAACTGCTGGAGTTCTCTAGGACGGGTGTTACACCTGCCAATATTGCATGGGAACTGTATAGTGGGGAGTCAGCCTCCCTTTCCCTGACGCTTCTTCAGCAGTTAAAAAGCAATAGAGAAGAAGCCGTCGACACTTTCAACTATATGTCGCTGAAAGTTGCCTATTGATTACGTGGGAAGTGTTATCCAAGGGAACGACCGGCTCAAGGTAGTTTACGAAATCTTCCCTACCATAGGTCTGGACGAAGATACGATCTCATTCTAGACTGTCAGGCTTACCAAAGAGCGGTCTTGTATCCACTGCTTCAACACTATTGTGGTTGGGGAGGGATCGAACGTATGCCGATATTGCTACGAAGCTTTACAGCGACTGCCATCATCTATTGCTGCAGTCTGGATTTTGCCTCCCTTTGCATTGCCTAAATTATGTTGATCTGTAATCCGAAGGTATTAACACTGATGAGATTTACTTCTGACGCAAGTATGTCGCTGTTGAATAAAGTATCAAGATCACCAAGGCCAAATAGAGCCTACTTAGGGTAGAGGATTTTGTACGTAAACACCCTCCCCAATAGTATCAACAAAGTCACAGCTAAGTATAGTATATTCGTGAAGCAAGGCGGCCTCTGCCTTCCCTTGACATCTCTTCAACACTTCCCCTCGACGTTCAAGCCTCGCGCCAGTCACACAATCTTCGCCCCAGCCCATTCGTGGCCTCCTTCATCATAAAATTCGATGCTTCCAACATTCTCGGGCGGCATCAGTCAAATCATGTTATACCCTGATCAATCGATAAAATGAGAAGGTTATTCCAATGCTGGTATCGGGAACACATGATGAGAATTTTTTGACTCCTGTTACTGGAAGGAGGTTACAGGTGGTAGCGTAGGAGTAACCTTTTTAATAAGCACGAGTCAAGGCATGGCCCAGAAGGTCTATGGGACTTGCATACCTGCACTGGAGGTGCGCAAAATTCAGACCTTGTGCTCAAGCAATGCTGAAAGCCGACCACGGGCGTAAATCCGATATGTAAAGCGGCATCACTCCTTTTGCACATCTCCCCGCAGTTATCCAGCTACTTCGAAAACATCTAGGAATGGGTCACCAACCACGCTGTTAACACCAAAATCAATCCTGAGGCTGGCATCGACACTGAAAACCAAATGTCGAGCGTCCGCTCAGCGCGAGTCATTCTTGTCGAATCCCTGGGCTCAACGTGGATGTATGTAACAACCGCGAAGCATAGCTCGTTGTACCAGTACACAGGTTCGAAAGGCAAAGAACCTCTACATCACCCATCTGCAAACCGAGGCGTCGTACTACGAACCCGGTACTCCTGCTTCAGCGCTCTTCGAGCCTGGCCACTTTCCCGACAACCTCGGCCCCGAAAATGCGCCAGATAATTCGATTCTGAGTCAGTTGGGTCACTGAGGATCGTTGTCTTGGAAGATGTTGTGATATATGGCACGGCAACGTACGCGTTTTTAAAACAATGAATGCTCAGGGAGGCGCTGAAAACTGCAGGTGTGTGTGTGGAGAGAGTGTTTCGTAGTGACAATTAGAAGAGGGTCGGGGCTTTCAATGTCTATACAATTGGCTTGAGGCAAATTATTACCCTGAAGTGAATCAAATGTCACCGGATATGGCTTGATTAATGCTAACGTGGATGAACGGAACATGGAGCTGACGTTAATGGACAAAGGCACGATAGGAGTTACGGCTTAGAGGCTGGTGCGTTCTTGCCTTTTGAGAATAGAGGGAATTTAGTATAATAATGGTATTCGTTTAATGGTAATGATTTCATATGAATAGCGTAGATTGTACAAAAATCAAGATGGCGTCTATAAGCAGTACAATTCTCACGAGCAAAAGGTTGACCTTTTGCTCCGGCTTCACAGCGTCCCTACAGCTGATGGATAAATAGAAATGTTATCTCCCTTCGCGATCGAGTGTCAATGTAGCAATCCAAGCTTTGACCTTCAAACCCTCAAAAATGAAATTAATCCGGGCCGTGCACCTTTAAACACCTTGGTTCCCCAGTCCCAATGACTCCTAGATTGTTAGAGAGAAGCTAACAGAAACAGTCCAAGGCTTCTTCCAGCCCAATATCCCTTTCTCGGCATCATCTATCATCCTCCATCTCTCGGCTGTGGCGATTTCGACCGCGCCACCGAACTGGTGCAAGTCGCTCTTGCCCTCGACCTCGGCATCGAAGCTGTGTTGAGCAGTGCAGGTCCGCCGGTTGACCCCTTCGGCGAAAATGGATACGGTCGCCATGGTTCTTCGTGCAATGTCTCTTTTATCCATCGGCTGGTGGGGGCAAGGCTTGAATACCGGGATGTAGACGCGAGTGGTGGAACGTCGGCGAGTAGAGACGCGGTGTCACGTGATGAGATGCTCCCGAGATCAGGATGCGGCTCGAGGATGATGTCTTTTTCCCTCATGTTGTGATTTGATAGATGAGAAGGTTGATTTGCAACAAATATTTTGGTGGCCCATTCTCCGGTATGGGAAAGTAGGAGGGTGTCGGCGTACTTATTCCTCGTTGCTGTCATGTTTGCGGTAACCGGATGGGAAATGCGGTGACCTGGCTGGGAAGTGTCGTAACGAAGTGGCAGAAAGTATGGAGCACAGCGCAGTTGGATGTTGGAAGCGAATTAAAGGACCAACGGGCCGTCAAATACTTATACCGCACGCAAGCCCTGTCAGTCCCGAATGTTCTGTTCGTCCACTGCGCAAATGGAATTTCCAAACTCCTAATTTTCGCGCGATTAACCAAACACGCAACGGCGTACAAGCCGGTACTTGCATGTCGAGTTTTGCCATCGCAGATAATTTCAATTACCGTTCTGGGGCTTTGAAATTCGCCTTGGGCCGTGAGCGACCGCGAACTCAGGTGAACGATTTGGGCGACTAGGCCCTAAGGCAACAAGATGGTATTTCCAATTTCCGTATTAGGGCAATTAGGGAGGTTTTGTTTAGGCTGCGTCGGTGTCGGAGGCCGTGGTGGCTGAGGAAGGGTAATGTGGGGGTGCAATTCTTGCCATTGGGCTCTTATGGCTTGGAGATGGTTGGGGGTGCCCACAAGTGCGTGTGAGTGATGTTGTGGGTGCTGGACCATACACCGAGGCGGTTTTTGCGCGATTGCGCTATCCGGAGGTGAACCTAAACCTCGGCGTTAGTGCAAGGTGTCAAAAATGCTGGTTTGTTCTCGACTCAACGCTGAGTTCTGTGGGAGCCGTTTCACATTTTGAATTTCGCAACACGTGTTAAATCAGCCCTGATCTTGAATCTAGTGAGACGCTGGAATGTTCTTCCCCCGGCTGGATCTGGGCTAGACCATTTTCGGATTGGCCGACATTAGTCAGTATCAGCACGGTCCTTCCACCTGAAGGCCTAAGGATGTTTCGCCAGCTCTCACCCGAATGAAGTCTTTCACAATCATAATTAGATACAGAATCTCGGGGAAATGATGGCCTGCTGTAAAACGACTAGTGCGGACGATGCTTCGCTAGCCATTACCTACAACTCTTTCCAGAAATTACTCCCTCTCCAATACGCTCGCTGGGCAGCCTGAATCCTTGTCAATTTCCAACCTTCTAACTTTCCTTGTAGGTTGTTTAACTCTACCTTAGGAACGAGACAATACTACATCTTTGAATCTAGACCAGATCGCAGTCGCTCATCTTCTCAAATGAGAAACGTCGAGAGGTTATTAATCTCTATTTGAAATGATAAAGGAAACAGTAGCCTTTTAGCCAACTCATATTCTTTCGCGCTGGATCCCGCTTGGGTTTACTATTTTGTGAGGTGTGCGCCTTCCTTTCTAACTCACTTGATTCAACCTCGCGAGATTCATCGTTCTCCCCATACCAACAAGACTGGTTTGGACGGTCACTCTTAGCAATTTGCAGAGATAGGACGGAACAGCACCAAACCAGTCAAGCAAGAAGCGAGGGGTACCTAAGCCTCGATACTAGCTTTATATGGAAACGCGGAGACGAGCCCAATTTCTTTATTTCAGTCTCGACAGCATACGAACTCATCCCGTATGCTGTTGGGCTGAACCCGCCTTTACTTACTGTTTTAAGCGATTCCTATGTCTGATACCTGTTTGTTTAAACAAAGATTTTTCAGTAGGTGGGGTGCTTGGGACAAAATTCGCCATGTCTGAGAAGTTTTGCTTCCTTATCTAGGCGCCTCTTGTATGGGTGGTGTTAGAGGAAATCTTCAACTGCGTGTCAATTGATGGTAATCCGGAATTCAGCAGTGGATTTGAAGCGAGCGCTAAAATGTTCCTGATAGGAAGGGGTCGTTCCGGTCCCACAGCGAGATATGAAACATCGTGTCGCGTACGAGAAGTAGCGAAGTGGCGGAAACCGTTTCAAAGCCTTCGGACCGTAGTCATACCGGCCGATCTCAAAAATTTGACTTCCGATTGGAGTGAAAGCATTTCAAAATATCCTTGATGAATATCAGGGCCCTTCCAGATGCTTTTTGAGCCCCAAGGCACTAGAAAGGTATATGTTTGCGAAGTCTGCATGATTTCTTTAGAACCTCTATTACCGTTCCAACCTTTTCACTTCCTTTCATCATTGTAACGCTCTTACATTAGTGGTTTCATTTTATTTTCTAGAGGCCCTTCAGTATTTTAGACAGTTGGAGTATTGCTAGGATAATAAAGCAGCTGTCATGTCAACATAAGGAGTCCGGGTAAATAAAAATCGAAGTGATTAGAGCTTTCAGGCCGCCAAGGACTGTTATTGGTACTGTATAACACATCTTTACCCTCCTTCGCAACCGGAGGGTGCTCAAAATCACTGGTCCAAAAGTCTTCTTGCTTACCTGCACGTTTAAGCTGCCTGTCGGCGCCACGAGCTCCGGCATGAAAGTAAACGACATTCACGCAAGTACCCGTTTCCGGGCCCACAAAAAGCTTAAACACGATAAGAGTCGCTCTAAAAGGCTTAGGAGGTGAGGCTCTTCGCAATCTGGAAAATATCATTCGTTGGATCCCATGCGCTAGTGCTCACAGAGTGTGGGTCCGACAGCCCGGGTCACGGGTTTTGCAAATCACACCAGATGTTTGGATTTGACATGTCTTGGGTACATATGTATTTTTACTTGTGTCCGTCGGCTCTTCATTTTTCTCGTCGTAGTTGAGTGTTTCTTCTATTTGTACATATTGGTGCAGGCACGATATTTCCATATTCTCTTATATTCTCTACCATAATTTTAATTGTAATTCGAGGCTGTGCCCGTACCTTCCCTTCTAAAATGAACGCCTCCGCAACAATCAGGGCCTCTTACGTCCGGGCGTCCATAATGAACACTCGCCCAGTTCAGCTCAGCTCTATGCCACGAATCCAAGAACTTGAATCCCGTCCCGCACACAACCATAAACTCGCCAATTTCCAGCCCGTAAACCATCTCCAACACCGTGAAGAATGTGAAAGAGAAAGGCAAGAAGCAGAAGCACCGCCACCGTATTTCCCAGATGATGGACAATCTTATCCGTCGAATTCCTTCATGGACTTCGACGACGAAGAAGCCTCATCAGATTTCGGAATCCGTCTTCGTAAAATGTACACCATCTTCCCTTACCGTGATCCCATCTACCTTGTCGCCGTGGCCTTCGCCCTCGGAAGTGTCGACCTCGTCATCAACGCCTTTTTCGACCTCCTCCCGCGCACAATACCAGAAACTTCTTTTGAAACAGAGGAGACAATCGCGGTCCCAACCACCGTCCTAATCGGCTCAACACTCTTCCTCATTGCTGGAATCCTCGATTCCTTCGGTGCACTGAATGCAGATCGCGGTACATTGCAAACTTCCAAAGACGTTGAATCCACACACACTCGCACAGAGTATAAGCCAGCATTACTAGGAAGTAAGGAGTGGGCGTGGATACCAAGTCGAGGGAAGTTCACAGATCTGCTGTTTGGGAATCTAGCGTTCCAAGCTGGGCTTATTGTCCTGTTCGGTGGTATCATCTTCATGGTCGCTGGCATCACTGACTTCCCTGGCGTCATTCCCGAAGACTCGACTTTCTTTGGGCTCGTTGTGTTTGGGCCGCAGGTCGTGCATGGGTTTATGTTTCTTGTTGCGAATGGCATGTTAGCGATTTACGAGCAGGAGAGATGGTGGAAGCCGAAAGTTCTGGATGCAGATTGGCAAGGTGCATTTTTGAATGCAGTGGGCGGATTTGGGTTTCTGATGGCTGGGTTCTTCCTTTTTCGGAGGGAGGATCTAGCCGCAGCGGTTGCAGCTATGGGTGGGAGTTGGGCTTTTTTAGTGGGTAGTTTGGTGAGGTGGTATGCGGTCATGGAGTTTTGTTAGATGCCCTAGGTGTCGGAGACGAGTTTTGTCGCTTCAATAATACTGTGCGTTGCCACTTAGGTAGAACATAACAAAGTTCTAAATTACCAGAGAAATTAGTACCTCTAATTCTAGCAAGACTGTTTATGGGTTAAACCTACCGGGCCTAATACTGTGGTATATGATACCATGCTATAAATAATGGGTGTGTAGTACACTAGAAATAAGTGTGGATGCAAAGAAACATGGAAACAAGGTGTGCAGTTGATAAAGATCACAAGGAAGAAAAGTGACGACAAAAAAATTAAGCTTCCGTGCATTCACATCACCACATACTGGCCAGCTATTCAAGCTGGTCCATTCCACTCACACCTCACGTTCTCAACCTAATGGCACGTCCGCTTTAGTGGGTCTTCCTTCGTCCAATTCGAAGACTTGAGCAGCGGGTTCTGGAGTTCACACATGATTGAGATCTGAAGCTCGCTGCCTTTGAGGGTGTTAACTTGCTGAAGGGTTTGCTTCATCGACTGTTGTGGGGTTGCCGCGATGTTCGCCAGTCTTGAAGTCTCTGGCTGGGTTTTCAAGATCCAAGTGGCGCCAAAATTCCTCCTGGCGGTTCTGTCTTTATTATAATTGGGCGACACGATCTGAATAGAGCAGTGCTGTGGAGTCCATTGCGTATTCGGGAGGAATTGGCAGTGAGATAAGACGTAGTAAGCAGAGTTCGCACATGGCTCGTAGCGTTAGATAAGAGTAGAGACTGCACAAGGATACCGACTACCTGGGAGACACGTTGCGGTAAGCTGCCAACCGGCCCTATTTGTTGGTAACTGCGGGGATACCATGCCTATTTCCGAAAAGCCTTAGGTCGTATTCGAACCAAATGGAAGTCTTCCCTTAAGGGCGAGCCAGAATGGAAAGGCACCCTTCAGTCTGGGCGGAACTGAAACCATTGTTTGAAAGTGGATAAGCACATTCGAGGCTGTTAGCAAAAGCTTGTTGGCACACTTCATCCTCTCTGCTCAATGATAGTTAGATCGAATGAGATGTCGAAACGTCGAAAGTGCACAACTCGAGAGACTTGCTGTTTGAGTCGCTGAAATAGTTATATGGTTAATGTGACTAGAACAATGGGAACCGTCATTGTAGTGACTGGAGACTAAGAAGGGCATTAGTATAGATTCCAGTTGCGTTGGGAAAGATGTCGCGCCCTCTGGCCTAGTTCATCGCTTAGACAGCAACTACTGATTGTAATTTTGGTTTGCTACAAGCATCGGCTGGCAGCTGGGGGGGGATCGACGGACTACCGATTTCCTAGTACTTGGCGATCAACCACGACTGCAAGCGAGAAGTAGAAGATAGAAAAGAGGCCAAAGACGAAAGATCGGACGCACGAGCAAATGCGGCACTCGTAACTACTACTAAAATGATCGACAAGAGAGTATGCTATAGGGCCATCGGAGGAGCAAACTACAGGGGAGTGTAGGGGTTTACGAGGCCCTTCCATGAGTGGGTGACTAGCTCGAACCAGATCTACAATCTGCGCACGAATTTTATCGGTCTGGTGGCTCACGCTAGTCGCCCGCTCATGGGAGGGGCCTGCACGGATCAAGAAAGCCACACGCGATAGGGAAGGAAACCCTGGGGTCAACATGGTGGCAAAGTTCATGACTACATGCCTTTCTCGATGCAAGCAAAGGTTTACAAATGGGAAGATGCTTCTTATTCCGGGTTGCCTGGTCTCGCCCGTCCTGTTGAAGGGGAAGGATGGGGTTCTGGCTTGAATGTGGAAAGTATATAATGTCAATGGATGGGCCTTGAGCCTCGCTTGTAATCGCGCAACGTCTCTTTGGATAGCCCTAGTGTAGAATTAGACACCAAAGGCCACTGGAATTGCCGGCACAACTCTTCTTGTACTAACCTTGCGCAATGATGGAAACGTAAACGAAGCCGAAGGAATTTCTGCGACTTTCCGAAATGCTAGACTAGATTCTGCTTTCATTGGGTGCCACGGAGCTGACTCAGCAATGGTTGGAGGAAAAGAAGGTTAATTAACGTGTAGACAGAGACATGAAGAATCAAAGGAGAATATCCTTGCTCAGCAACACAGCAATACAGCGCTTTAGCAGCAGCCACACTGTCCATCCATATGTCCTGCAACCACTGCAAAAGATTAATCACGCTGTTTCAGGATCGCGCGCAGAAGCATGTCTTGTGGAAGGACAGAGCCTCGGTTGGGCACTAACACAGGTTGGGTTCTGGATTGTCCAGGCATGTTTTGTGAATTTTGGATGTTCGGCGCTGAAAGCTCGAAGCCTCAGAATCCTACGCTAGACTGCTTCGAGGGTATGGAAATGCTTGGCCCGCCCTCAACATCAGCTGAAGGGTGACGACAACATGCTGTGTAGCATAGCCCTCCGCCCTCTGTTGCCTTGAACCACCTCTATCCGCCCAACTGCTGTTGAAACGCTTGCCCTTGGAGTCGCCACCACCAGTATGAATTGGGGAATTGGAAGTCTGCCTTACTTGCGACGTGTGAGGCCGATACCAGCCTTGCTCGCCCTCCGCAATGCACCCCGTCCACGGCCCACTGCCCCATAAGAGAACCTCTCCCTGACGTTGCCCGCCATGAACACCCCCATCATCGCACTAGAACCATGACTCAGCGCCCGCAACCTCTGAGATTTGTCGGCCCACCAGTCCCCCGCGCAAGACCCATTCCACCATCAAAATGGGACGAACACAAGGAAGAGCTGCGCTCCTTGTACGAGGAGAGGACACTAGAGGACTTGATGGAATTCATGAAACGCACGCATAGCTTTGAGCCATCGTATGTCGCCAGAATGAGGAAGGACTGAGAACACTTCGCTAATTCGCTCAGGCACCGCCAATACATTTACAAATTCGAGAAATGGGGTTTTAAGAAGTACAACACCGGCGGTCGAGAGACACTTCAACGACCTCCTATCCCCCCTCGCTTACAGCACCAGTTGAGCGTGTCGGCACCGGAGCGAAGCCTGCCCAACTACCCTCTTGTGTCCTCATCTACACCCAAGCGACCAAAGAGCATGGGAAGCTTACAAAGTCGCGGCAGTCAGAGCTCAATGGACAGGCCCACAGTCCCACCGAAGAAACGCCAGAAACTAGCCGAATACATAGCATCGAGAGATCCTTTCGCCGACCCGGAACCGGACCTCCCTGCTGCACCGGCCCATGACCAGGACCAGTACCGAGCTACTCCATCTGCCTGCGGAGCCCCTCAGATGCCTTACACAGGTACCGCCGGTACTTCACAGTCCACGTCCCCTACGTACCTAGGCAGCTCTCCACGTAGCGCTCTATCTAGTGGCCTTGGTGCAAAGACAAGTACAGTGTCCAATACCCCTGGTCTGATTGAAGACGACAGCGACTGGATTACTATCAACGAGCAAAGCGACAATGATCCGCTGCTTTCTAAGTCTCTCGATAATCTCGAGAACCTGGACTTTGGGAAGACTCCAAGCCTTCCACTATCAGTCAGGCTATGGTCGCCCAACAGACGGCGCTTCGACAGTAGCCGTCCTATCCATACCTTCTCGCAAGAAGAACTTACCGACATGAAACTGGCTGCGCATTTCCTTCAGTCTCTTGGCTTCGATAGCGATGCTTTTGAGCTGTTCACCATCTTGCTGAAGCGATTGAAGGAGCCCAACACCGAACCCTCATGGATGAGATCCTCGGCACTGATTAGCTGTGTCCGCTCTTCCTTCTTGTCCTCCCAAGTCGAAATTGCGCGCAATGAGCTGTTCAAGACGCTTGATGAACCACGAGACACCTTTACCGACGTGGAGCACTTCATTTATCGCATGCTCCTTGCCGAAACTTACACGCGCTCCGATGATAAGGACAGTGAGAACTTTATCAGTGAGATCGCAATTGGGTGTGAGCTTGCTAGCGATAAGATGTTTGATCACCTGCCGGCCGAGCATCGCTCGTTCGACCTTCTCACTTATCACTACCTAAACAAATGTCTTGAGTATCTCAACACCTTTGTACAAGACGACTGGGATCAAGGCAGCATATTCACCGATAAAGAGCACCTTCAGATTCGAATCTTGGAACGAATTCCGGGCCCATTTGAACTTCGCCAAAGCTCTATGAAAAACCCTCTCCTTCGGTCGTGCCTCACATGGTGCGCCAAGGAGCTGTCGTCTATTACTAAGCTGCCAGACTCATGGAAGGCCGTGCAGTCTGACGACGACAACTACGTCTACTGGACTGATCATATTGGATTGTACTGTGGACTCTGGGAGCGATGGCAAGCTCAAAGACGTGACTGTTTTGGTTCCGCCCTAGCACCCTGGATGCTTGACACTGAGAGACTGATGGGCATTACACCTGCAGAGCTACTATCGATTACATGCGGTCTAATTATGAGTGCTGCTCCCCCTAGAACACTCCAGTCGGATCTGAACCTCATCATACGGGCACGAAGTGGCGCCGCTACCGTTTCTCGTCTGTCAGACAAAGACCTGGGCTGCCAGTTTTTAGATACCTACTCCTTGTTGGGGACATTGTTCGGCTCTGCTCCACAGCGGCAATACCACGACTGGGTCTCATTCTTCGCCATGTTAGTCAACTCGACTCGAGAACGGGAGACATTCGGGGACAAGGCGCGCGGTTTCGTGAGAGACTTTATCGAAGGCGACCTCAACATAATCCTGCCGGGTGTTCCACGAGATGAGGAACCCGGGCCGTCTCGGCAAGATAGCGACAGGATCTCACCGCGGCTATCTGAAAATGCGAGGAGGAGCATGGAAAACCTAGCAGCTACTCTTTTACCGACACTTGCGTCATCAATCCACTCCTCTGAGCTTTCTGCAATGCGATCGCTCCGAGATCAGATCCAGCAGGCCACACGGCGCTCGATAGATCGTGCTCCATCGTGGGGTGTCGGTAGGCTTGCTTCTCAAAGCCATGCCACCATTCCCACTGTTAGCGAGTTGTCACAAGCCATGGCAAGCACGCTCAGCCTGTCTTCTGCCCAGCAAGCAGCCAATGCCGCCTTGGATGCGATCGCATCTGCATCCAGTGATATTTTCGGCATGTTCTCCGACGTTGAAGTAGATGGCGATCCTTTTAGTGAGAGGTATGGCGAAGTAGTAGAAGGTTGAGTGACTGGCATCTTATTCTTTTCATTTTGGGTAACGATGGGAAACTGCCCATGTATGTCTCTTCCGGGTATATATAAGTTTCCTTGTTCACTTGTAATGATTGTAGGACTATGTAAGCCTGGATACTTACTTTTCATGATATCGAACTGTCCTCTAGATGTAGCGTTCAATCAAGACTAAAATAAATATGATAGAAGAGAATTTCACAGCCGGTCAATAAAGCTGGATCCCCCAAACGGGTCTCGAGGGAGGGGCAGACAGCAGGTCCTGGTGCCACCCGCTACGGGCCCTATGCCTTACACAGGAAATCGCGATAGACGCGCGTGGTTATCACCTTCGTGAAGAATAACATCATCGCTATCGCAATCACAGCCAGTCCTAATCTTAATCTTTCTAAGTAGCTTTTCGCTCTTCACTCTCTTAACTTTTGCTCACCGCTGCTGCTGTCGATTGCCATCATCCATCACTTTCTTTCGCTTGAGTTCGAGGCAAGTTCCCGTCCAACAGTCAGTCACCGCCTGAGCCAACGCCATTTGTAGTCGTGGGGTCCTCGATATGCACCCTCACCTCTCTTTCACCCTTTCCCCCATCCGAAACACATGAGTCCATCACCACCCCCAAGTTGTTCGCCATCTCTCAGTCCCTCGACGCCTCGCAGCACCAGCCATCTGCATAAGGCATCACCGTGGGTGGGTCATCTTCACTAGCGGACAACCTACGCGCTGTGCTTCCAGAGACTGATTCTATTCACCATCTTCAGCACTCAACCATCTCGCTCGTGTTCTGAACACACCCCCATCACCTCAACCACCAACATGTGCATCGGCTGGAAAAAAATGTACCTCTGCGCCTGCGTCTCCCCGCCGCACATCGACCGCTGCCGTCAAGCCTACGTCACTGGACACCTCTGCCAGGACATCGTCCAAGAAGAATATCCTCGCAAATCATACTTTAAATGCTATGATTGCATCAAGTTTGAGGTGTGGAACGACCGCGAGGAGGCGTCCCGAGCTGCAAATCAGGCTGAAGAGGAGAAACGAATGGCGGAGGAGAAAAAGCAACAGGAGAAGAAAAAGGCGGAGGAGAAGGCTCGACAGGAGCGCATTCGACGTGAAGCTGAGGAGAGGGCTAAGCGGGAGAGGGATGAGGAAGATAGGGTTAAGGAGATGAAGAAAATTCAGGAGGAGAAGGATAGACAGGCGGGCGGGAAGTGGGAAGCTGCTGGGGGGAACAAGAAGGGGAAGGGGAGGAAAGGCGGTGGCCGAGTCTTGAGTCCCGTCGGTGCGGGTGCTGGCCACGGAGACTTGGGTCGCAGTGGTGGAGCAGTTATGAGTCCTACTGGCTCTGGACCTGGTCTTGGTGGTCGTAGAGATGGTCCAGTGCCAAATCAGACTGTCTTTAAGGCTTTTCCCGGTGGGCCTGGTTGCCCGGTACCCGGAAAAAGCGGTATCCCGGGAGTTCTCCCCGTCGGTGCTGCCGGTATTGCCGTTCCTAGCAGTCCTGCCAAAGTTGTCGGCAATGCTACGGCTGATCCGCCTGGGGTGGACCGGGGCGGTCGAGCTGGTCAATGGGGTCCTAGTGGGGTAAATGGCGTTCGGCGTAAGCCATGAGGTTTCCTGGGTCTCTGACATTGTCACGGCATTTGGATTAAACAGGGTCATTGCTTCAGCAAGGCGAAAGATCGTAGTTCCGGAGGTAGCGACAGCAAGAGCCCCAAGTAGGGCTGGTATCCACGGCGTTGGTTGGCTACACAAATCTTGCACCTAGGGTCCATTTCGTAGGTAGATTTCTCTCTAAGCCCCCCCCCAATCTTCCGATCCACTTTCCGCCTCAATCCAGATTGATGAGTCCAAGCATATTCACAATACTGCATCCAGATCCTTCCCCTCCCTTCCATCGATTTGATCGTTTATAAGGCCTAAGATGCAGCTGTCTCTCCTGACACAGCTTCAACCCAACTCCCCCCATCTCAGCATCCCTCTCTCTGCCCACCACTCCAAACACATCCTTCTTCCCTCCCTTCCGCTCCCTCTTTCCCCCCTTCGCCTTCCATCCCCCTCCCCTTAATCTTCTCAGACTCTTCTTCCTTCACTCTGCCATCTGCATCTCCGCCCATATCCTCATCCCCCACATCCGTCCACTTATGCAGCCCGGTTGCGATCCCAGAGCTAAGTCCATTGGGATCTTACAGTCCATGCAGAAGTCGTCAAGTTTGCCTTCGATATAGGTTTTTACTATTAGAATGTAGATTTACCGCATTGGTAAGAGCAAAGGGTCTGAGTGCAGATTATGTATGTTAATATGCACAGACCGCAAATTTATGAGGTGGTGGAGGTTTGGTGAGAATTGTGTGGGGTTTTGGGTTTGGATTTGTGATTTGGCTATAACAAGGAAGCGTGTTTGCAGTGTCACACGATAGTCGGATGCGTCGTCACCATGGTCGTATGCATCTCGCGATGGTCTATGTTGCCTAAGCAATCAATGCAGCTCAGTTTCTCTCATCTCTGTACCCCCGTAAGCTTCACAAAGCAACAGGCGTTTTGATCCTAGTACTAAGGGCGATCTAGTTTTGAGAAGTTCCGTTAGACTAGTATCAAAGTAATAGGTAGTTGGCATTCTTAATTTTCATGCTCGTATTAGCTATATCCGTCTGCTAGAACGTAGGTATGAATTTTAGATCTTGGGGTAGTTACTTTTCTATTAGCTATTATTTACTTAGATATTTAGGAAAGCGTTTCCTTTATTCCTAACTACTACTGTTCTTCCAACTCTAGTGTAATTTCTATTACCATGTAATCTGATAAGGTACACTAGCCTAATTCTTTTCAAGTATAGCCATTACCCTTACATATTAACTGTTGTTAACATTAGTTGAGATAAATCTACCTTCTAAGCATGCTAACGGTACCATCTGCAAGCCATACAAGCCCTATTAGCCACCAGCATCTACACGGACTATCGACCGTTCCTTTTAACAAGTACATCCGTACAGCCTATGAATTTGCCGCCCAGTCGCCAACATTCAGCGTTTGAAACACATGATTATCACGCCTAAAACCGAAAAAAGAGCTGAAGGCACTCCTATCCCTATGCCTACCTTGGCCTCAGTACTTAAACCTCCATGTCCAGGTGCAGAATTAGGCGGCAGAGCAACGTCAGCAGTAGCCGGAATTGGGAAGGTCGACAGCGCATATGAACGTAGAGATTGTACGGCGACAGCGGAAACATCGCTACACAGTGCCCCGAGAGTATTCTACATGTAGATGTCAATCAAGCAGTCCAACAGACAACATAAGTCTCTACTCACAGTGTTTGCGGGTTCTGTCTGGTCGCAAAGGGTAACGAAAGTTATGAGATTGGCTAACTTCGTCTCTGTAAGGGCTCTCTCTGATATTTTCCAGGACAAAAAAGATGCAACGCCGAATACTAGAGCAGCAACGAACCCGACGATTTGAAGAATAAGAATGAATACATCGTGGGCGCTAGGCTTGGATTTAACCATTGGGACGAGCGCCGATGTGGTTTGTGAGGAGTCACGAAGATCGAAGATAGAGAATTTTGTATTTCGGCGAGAGTGGACTTCACCTTGAACAAATACAGCTATATAATATAATTTGTGGCAGTGCAGAAGTAGCCTCATGGTCATTTCGCATGCCCGCTCGCCTGAGGTGTGGTGGCAGAAGGGGCATAAGGGGCTGTGTCGCTGCGTGGGGGCTGAGTCACCATGTGGAGGCTGAGTCACCATGTGGAGGCTAAGTCACGACGTGGAGGCTGAAGTATTGGGTCGCGGGAAACCTTTTCATATGTGCGGAAAAGTGAAAACCAGTTTGCATTCAATATAAGAGGCGAATATAGAGGCATCTGAAGCGTGAAACGACGTGTGCCTCGCGGGATTATTTTCACGCAAAACGTGGACGCAGAAGCTTAAGAATCAACTAATGCCGCGCACATCAAGGAGAGAGTGAGTCGTCTATAGAACGGGTGAGTATGCCCAATATGTGATATTCGGATAAACACATCAGGGTTGCCTTCCAGAGCTCCGGCAATATACGAGAGTGATGAGAGAGCCCCCAGAAGCTGATATGCTGCCTCATAATGGAACGACTAGAGTCATCCATCCCCTTCTTTAACATAGCTAGGATTGCCTTAATAATGGAAATCTAGACACCGGAGCCGCCTCGCAGAAGGGAGTTGCTAGGTATAAGCATCATAGTCTGAGTAAGGCATGCTCACGAAGCCGTTCCGCCACTAGACTTGCATTGGTAATGTTCGCTGTGCCCCTATCCGACGGGGCCAAAATACCAACGTTGGGATGTTGCTCTAGTGCAACCTTCAGCGTCTCGAATTTCGATGTACTTGTATCTGCACCTCCTACAATGCCAGTGCTGACACGGTAGACTGTTCGACCAAGCCTCAGGTGCCTCTCAAGCCTATCAACGCTTTCCTACGTGCTTTCGATAGTTCTTATATAATTCGTCAAAGCCGTAGGAGCTCCATACCTTTATCACTTGTAACCTAGAAGCTCCCCAATCAACTCAAGGTCTAACCCTTTTCTCTCATTTGTATATATATCTCATAGTCTGCAGTCTTATTACCCATCAAAACATTACTTCACCCATAGCTCATTTCCCTACCAAGCTTACATCACTTGTTAACAAAATCCGGGTTCTCATTAACGCCTGCTCACATGGACACTGCAATTATATCAGACAGTGCCAGAGAATGCCCGTCCACTTCAATCATTTCGTGCAAGTACAGACTCTCTCGTATGAATCCCACTCAGAAGCTGCCAAATCGATATACTAAGAACCTTAGTTAAGGATTGAAAATCAAGAGGCCGTCATTTGAGGGCAGGAGATATTAGAAACTGAAATTTTCCGGAATGCACGCTTAGAACCAAATGAAGTAGGGTCTTGATAGCCTTCTAATTATCCGCCGAGGAGGATGGTAGTACGCCACACGCTTGCAGTCTCATCCTAGCCACAACATGAAAGGAATTTAGTAATGATCCCCTAGTCACATGTGTTGCAAGTGGAGACATTACTAGTTCGTGAACAATATATGCATTTAAAAATGCGGAATTTGTCGGAAAAAGATATTGCGGCACAGCATATAGTGCACGAAATTCGAAGGCGCCGGGTTTAAGCGACACTCCAGCGTTTCCAATGAGGCGTAGTACTGTACGAGTGGGCAATTTTGAGACCTGTATGGGTGAGATATTTGGTACATTCGTACGGCCGTAAGGAAAAGTGGTAGGTGTATGCATAGCAAGCTCGCCTAGGCTGTACGGGTAGTATAATCTAATCTTTTGCTACGGACAGTATACTATTTCAGGATTGGGTAGAAGATTTGGTTTAGAGGGCTCGTAACTTCTGCATTCTTCTAGACGGCACAAAATGGACTTCGGAGACATCTAATCAACTAGATCAGGCCTGTAAGACGCGCAAAGAGATAACTCTGCAATAGAATATAGTTAGAAATAGGCACCTTTAAGGCAGCAGACAGTAGGTGAATGGATTAAAACACTAATAAACGACATATTTAAGCGTCCTTGCAAAGCTTTTGGCTAACTAGAGCCCTAGAAACCCCTGTATACACTCCATGCAAGCCTACTGCTTGCTAGAGCCCTCCTAATCCTCTAGGATTGCTACATACACTTCCCAGCAACGTAATGCTATCCGTACTACGTCTGGTAACTACGGTATCACTAAATATATGGTGCGGCTGACGAACTGGGCTTGTTCATATTTGACACGTGAACGTGACCGTTTCACTTCGTACGGACCGTAGTACGCCACTAGAAGTGCTGCCCCACTCCATTCCAGAACGCATATTGACCTCGCAGCTTCGAAAGGTACCTACATCTGGACAAGCCTTTTGTGAAAATTGAGGAGTGGACATCGAATCTGAGCATTCCAGCAGCATCTAAAAGAATTCTAGCCATATCTTATACAGTTTCCACGAACTCTCACAGCCACTCTCCAGACTATCTAGATGATCGCTCAGGAGAAGGGCTAGACGAATTGATGATAATTCTAAAGGTTTGGCTTAGATACTCTTTTCGTCCTAGCCGGCGTATTTATATATTCCATCCACTGCGCAGATAAGGCAGTGCCATTAGCAGCGGACTTTCTGCTATTGTAAGAACAACTAAACTCTTCTTCAAACTTAGATCTTACGATCTCATCCCGAAGCCAGCGAAATAAAGCGATGGCTGTCTGTTAGATTTTCTCTATCGGAAGCACATGCGTCGTGCCTTGGATTGTCTCGGCTCGCACCCGGCCCATCGCGACGCCTCCACTGCCCCCAAGGCCAATCCCTATACATCGAAGTTTATCTTCCCGTCGGAGAGGCCGGCTAATGTGGCTGTTTTCTCCAAAGAGCAAGAGCACTACTAGTCGAACGGAAGGGAGAAACTTGAATGCCAGACAAGCCCATGGACAGTTCGTGGCATGACCCCAATAGTTAAAGTCCCCTTCCGCAGAATTGCAACTAAGGCCGTTTCCCAAGGCGCGCTCGACTGAGTCCTGTGGATTGAGCGACGGTGGAGGTGCATTCAGGCTCAAGAATGTCCAGGCTTCTTGTGCTTTGTTCGTGGTGAGTGTTACACCTCTAGGGAATGAGCGACTGGGATACAGTAAAGTGGGAGTCGAGCGCAACCCAAATTGGAGGTATATTTCCATTGCTTTCGATTCCCATAACTGGAAGAAGGGCGACTTTCGCAGAAATTCTTCTGCCTCAACTCTAGACGCCCAAACATCTAGATGGAAGCTGCGGAAACGTGCTTAAGGAGCGCTCTTCAGCCGGCTAAGATTCTCCTTCTGAATCATGGGTTTCAGGAATGCGAGTGCATGGAAGAGGTTTGGGTGCATCAGAAAGGGATGTACACTGCTCCAGCTTGGTATCTGCACTTCTGTAAACAGATAGTCTACACTGACAATTGCGAACAGCTAAAACTATAGGCGATCCCAACTATAGGTTAGGTAGTCTAGTCCCTAAAGTAGTTCACTATTTGCAAAAGATCTCGGGAGTGGTCAAATCAGTTGGCTGTGCATAGAATAGTCAGCCTATAGCAGAAAATACGATATGGGGGACGTAGTTCACGGTCATCCCCTTGGGTACCTTCATTCAATATTCCACTTGCGCCTTGGTGGAAGCAATCGGTAATCCGAATAGACTTGATCGGGAGCGCCATAGCCGTGATAAGCTCGTCCCAGAGAGGCTCATAGCATCCCTGAGAATATGATTAGTGATCAGAACTTTGTCCAATTACTATATGACAGACTTTGGGAAGCCCATTCCCGTGCGCCGCTATAAGCGTAATTGGATTTGACAAGGGGTTGCTATTGTTCAAATGTGTGTACTGCTGAATTGCTAACTGCAATAACTTATCCACATTAAGGGCGTCGCGATACTCTCGAATGTGCTGACATGGAAGCACGTGTTCGGTGATTCTAAAGAAGGAAGATGACATGATAGCGATTCGGGAGAAATTTTGACACACTCAAAATGCTGCAGAACTCTTTTAGGCACACGGCGATGGACGACGAAAATATGTTAATCAAATATGGGTGCCGCAACTGCTTCGCTGCAGTCCCATTCTGTTGAAAAACTAACATTCCCTGAGCGTGGTATTTATAATTGAGGATCCTGGATCAGTGATCAGAATGATTGTGAGATTATCAATTAGCTGTCAGAGGTGTCGCCTTGTCGCCTATGTCCACACGCTCGGATCGTCCGACGTAACCGGTAATCCCTTCTAGCAACTGCTACGCATGTCGTAAATGGAACTAGGCAGAATCATAGCCAGAATGTCTACCTACATATTTATGCAGGTTTTGGGGTCCGGTGGTTAGTAATTTTAGTAATCAAGTCAGTAAACTATAGGAGTGGGGTAAGCTTTCAATTCACACCACTCAACCTCCAGGACAAGGCAGTGTCGAGTCAATGTCCCGACGCTAGCTCAGTCCATTTAAACCCCACCTAGGTACGCTACTCGGGGATTTTGTGCTACAAAGTTCCTACTCCAGTTCCGATTCTTTCAGAAGCCGATAATTAAACCGAGAGCTTCTGTGGTACGAGGCCCGCAATGGAAGGTGTGGTGCCCTATATTGTGGCCTTCGGGTCAATTGTGATTACGCTCCTCATACTGCAGCTCGATCCGCTGCGTGGAATTCCGGGTCCGTTTTACGCCCGTTGGACTCCTCTTTGGATGATCTATCACTCCCGGAAAGGGGATATGCACCAGAAGATGATCGAGTTACACAAGGCGCATGGAAAACTAGTCCGAACTGGCCCGAACGAAGTGAGCATTTCTGATCCAGGGGCGGTAAAGATCATATATGGTTCGTCAAAACTGCAGGACATTCAAGACAATGTGCTTTGAGAGACACTCTAACACAGTTAGGTGCGGGGTCTAAGTTTCGTAAGAGTAATTGGTATAGCGTCTGGCAGGGCCATCGTAAATTTGACCTTTTCCCGGAGCGGAATGAATTGGTCCACCGAGCACAACGGCGATTAGTCAGCGGCATATATTCAATGGATAGACTGAAAAGGCTCGAACCTTACGTGGATAAAGCGCTAATTGTGCTGTTCTCGAAGTTGTCAGAGTTGGGAGCCAAATCAATCAATATGGGACTCTGGGCTCAACTTTTCGCCTTCGGTGAGCTGGTTCTTCGAATATCACTCAGTGGCTTTAAGCTCATAAGGTTCAGATGTCATCGGAGAAGTCACATTCTCGAAGCTGTTTGGCTTTATGGATGCTGGGAGAGATGATGGCTCCTTCGGCCAGATCGATGCCGCTCTTAGGTCCGCAGCTTGGATCGGACAGGTGCCTTGGCTCTATTGGGCTCACGATACGCTTTCCCCATTTATAGGAAACTGGCTCGGCATCGGTGCTCGTCATGGGAGTCTGCGAGCGTTTGCTGCAAACGAGATTAATCGGCGCAAACTTCGAGGCAGTGATCACCATGATATCCTCGAAATGCTTATGAACGTCAACCGAGAGAAGCCGGATGAACTAGATGACACTGCAGTCTTGTCGATGGCTACCAGCAACATTTTCGCTGGAAGTGATACCACCGCCATCTCTATTGGCGCACTTCTCTACTATCTCTGCAAAAACCCTGAATGCAAAGAGAAAGTGTTAAAAGAGGCCACTGAGATGATGAAGCAGAGTAGGATGGACGACATAGTCCCGCTCGCCATAGCCAACAAGATGCCTTATTTGCAAGCTTGCATATATGAAGCTCTTCGCTGCCACCCGGCTGTGGGGATGTCTCTTCCCCGAGTAGTACCCCAAGCCGGCATTGAGGTGGACGGGCAATACATTCCTGCTGGAGTAAGCCTAATCATTTCCATTTCAATTAGGCGCATATTAACTAGAATACTAGACCATCATCGGCACCAACCCTTGGGTAATTCACAGAAATCAAGAGGTATTTGGTGAGGATGCGGACTCTTTCCGCCCAGAAAGGTGGCTAGAGTCAGACCGTGGCCAACTAGGTAACGGCCTTCCATAAAAGCGAGTAACCTGGACTTATTTAATATGGCTAGAACGGCTCTTCTTTGCATTTGGCTCCGGAGCGCGGGTATGTATTGGGAGAAGTATGTTCTTAAGAACGAGCCCTTCCACCTATTTTAATAAACTAACAATCGTCAAGACCTTAGCTGGATAGAGATATCAAAGGTGGGAAAACGGATCATGCTCTCAGAAGTCGAAGTTGACACCGCTTAGCTAGTCCCTTCGCTTTTACTCCGCTTCGAAATTGAACTTACCGATCCAGAAGCCAAGCCGAGAGAGAATTGTTGGTATGACCCCGGAAATCATAAAACAGTAGGGCTGAAAGGGGCTGACACATAACAGGTGGTTTGTGAAACAGGAAGGCCTACACATGACTCTGAAGCCCAGAGAATATGCCGGTTAAGCTGTAGTATTCTTGAGAAGAGTTCGTACTTAAGAAGAATGCTACGTTTCATTACCAACACAACAACTAAACAGAAGGTAGGCCGCACCTTTCTAGGGGAGGACCGGCCCTTATGGCGAACTACGTTTTCTCGTGATCTTTCGGTACGCCAGGATAGTGGTCCAATGCCCCTGCTGGTGATGCTGTGATGAGTCCTAGTCTTCGAAAGGTTGAGAAAGTAGTATGGAACTAGTGACCAATAATTTATTTGTTGAGACTGTCGTCGGCGTATCGGACAACGCTATGATATTGAATCTCCGGAAACTTAAGTTTAAGATGTTTCACTGCAGAAAGTCGCTGGCAGCATTGCCTTGTAGGTTTCGGAAAGGCTCATGGGCAATTCCTTTTAACCAATATAAATTACGGTCAGATTTTTAGCGTGCAACTCAAGTCCACCAGCTGCCGGCGGACTATGATCATGGAAACCTTGTTCCGGAGGATTAAATCTTCGCCTCGAAGGCAATATGCTAATGAGAGCAATGGCCAGGAATTCGATAATCTGGAGGTATCGGGGTTGCAGTGTGGGCGAATATGCTGTACCTCCACAGCCGTCCAGTCTGCTTTTGCACCTCAAACATAGTAAGAGGCAGATTAAGATGCAATCATGATGGTATTGTCACCGGGTATACCCACTAACTAGAGGAAGCAAGCAATCCATGACCCAAGTGCACCACACCTGCCCCCAGAAATCCAGCCCCAAACCAATCCAACCCAACCATTTCCCGTTCCGATTAGGCAGGAAAAAAAATAATTCCGAAGAACTGTCCTTTTTACGCAAAAAAACGCCGCCCATGATAGTGTGTGAAAACGCCCACCCCGTAGTATAAAGTATGCACACAGAATTGAAAACTAGGAAAGACGAAACCCACGCCGCGCCGAGAGATTCTTCAGACGCGAAGAGGTTTCTGTTGATGACCGCCGCTCCGGAGAGCCACTTCGGTGATCCGGCTTCCGCCCATGCTCTTGACAGTGCTGAGGAGCTTGTGGCTGAGGTGGAGTTCCTCGATATCATCGCCGCCACCGATACTCTTGCCCATGAGGAGGACGTTTGGGACGGTCTTGCGACCGGTGCTCTCGGCGAGGGTGTGTTGGAGTTTCATGCCGAGGGGATGTTGGTCGAGCTCGACGACGTAGGGGGCGGGGACGATGTTGTAGATGTCAAGGAGGATGTGCTTTGCTTTTTTGGAGAAGGGACAGAAGGTCTTTGAGAAGATGATGACTGCGGAGGCGGGTTAGCGTTGAGTTGGCAATTGGATGGATGAGGAGAGCATACTTGGGCTCTTCTTCAGAATGGCATTCAACTCCACCTCAACCTCGTGGTCCTCTGGCGACTCGTGGTCCTCCTTCGCCGCCTCCCTATCCTTTGGTCGACCTCCCACATTGGCGACGCCAGGTACAAGCTTCTTCTCCCCCTCGCCGGGCTGGTTCATCATGACTCGTCCGGCAACGCTCTTCTCGTTCGCTCCGCCTGGCACCCCTCCGCCGACCAAGTCGATGTACTTGTGGCCCTTCTCATCCGCCGACTTCTTGGCTGCTTCCTCCGCTGCCTTCAATCTGGCGCCTACGTCATCGGCGTCGCGCTGCTTGGCAGCTTGTTCGTACTCTCTTGCTTGAAGCGCCTCCTGCGTCTTAGTGTAGAAATCGGAGCTTCGAGTCTGGCGGGGCGAAGACGTCATGTACAGCGTAACGAGGACGGCAAGGACGACCAACAGCCCGAAGGCCTTGACCCGACGCTGCGAAGGCATGGCTTACGACGAGTCCAGGTGCGGTGTGCGAGGTGTAAGGTACGAGGCGCAAGGTGAATTGGGTGGTGAAAGTGTGAGACTCGCAGCACTTATGCTGGAGGCGAGGTCGTCAACCTGGAACCGAGGACAAGCTGCCTAAAGCCCCCGGAGTCGCAAGATGTCCACCGCGTCGAAGGGAACGGTCGTAGCCCAGTCGCGGCAAGCTTCGCGCACGTGAAGGCGAGGAGTGCAGAATTCGTGGCGGTTTATTTTCTCGAGCCGCGACAGCGGGGCGGCAGAAGCGTGTGGAGTTGTTACCCTTGCGACAGCAAACCTCAGAGTGGAAATGTTGGCGGTGATGGGGTGTAAAGGTAGGTTTCTGGTATGACTGCCTTGTTGTGTCTGTATTAGGTAGCTGCTGCAATCATTGAAAATTCAACGCCAGTAAAAGTGGCCTCTGTTGTTGGTGGTGGTGAGGTGACGAGAAGGAGGAGGAGGAGCAGGAGCTTAGAGAGTCGCGGAAATCTGGAATAACGGCCGCCCAGTCCAGCCTGACAGGGTTGCAGAAAGGGCGCTTGGCGCTGGCGTCACAAGCCACGTCCCGTTTTCTCCACAGCATGTCAGCGCCGCAAACACTCGCCCGTTTCACCAAACAGTGGAAATCGCCCACGCCCTGACGGTTTTCTAGCCCTGTGGGCGCGGCCGGCAGATGAGCTTGGCGCGTCATTGGAGTTGCTGAGCGTCTGGCATTAGAGGATGGGCTGCGCATTTGACGTCTGCCGCGTACCGTGTCGCAGATGGGCTGCCGTTCGACACTTCTCGACACGTCGTGAGGCATCAGCAGAATCCTATGTTTAAACATGCACTGTGGACGCCGTCCCAACACATGCAGCACAGATTGTTATGCTTTCGCTCTTTGCGAAGACTCCCTACTGTTGCTCGTGCATCTCTGTTGTCTCTCTTGACGTCTGTTTGAAGCTTGCGAGTCTCTGGAGGAAACATCAATTGTTTTGCAAATCATCGCTTCACTGTCTCATGTTGGGTCCATCGGCAAGGCGCTTTCGCGCGGACCGACAAGCTTCGTGGAGATTCTTAGCGTGTGAGACGAACGACACACTCCCAGGTGTCATTATTCCTAGGTGCGGGTGGCCTTCTTTCACTCCGAACAGCTTCAGGGCCATTTCGACGAAACTCTCCTGTGGCAAGACGTGATGGGCACAACTGTGACAACTCGAATGTCATAGTTGGCTGTAGATAGGGCATCTCGCATCAACAAAAATGCCATTGCAAGTGCCTCCTATTCCCCACATTTTCGATCGATGGGAGGCCACGGTACCTAACCGCTTGGACCGGTGTGCGCTCATGGCGTCCCTCCCCTGCATGAAGCTTGATCTGACCTTGGCGAAACGACGAGCAGCGGAATACGACACTAAACATCCTAACTATCTTAGTTCTTCGCTGTCTAAAGCAATTATGCTTGATATTTCAATAATTTAACTACACTGACAAGAGAATATGTTCCACTTCCCTACTCAACGTGAGATTGTGTGAAGCCCCGTCTTGTTCGCCGCGCTCCACCGGGCTAAGCCACCTCCAACTTCCGACGAGCATGTCTCCCGGCTGCCTCACACCGGCATCCCGAACGCATCGGAAGCCTGAAATGTAGGATTCACTATTCCTGGAAAAAGGTATGTCTGTGCGCGGCATGCTCAATACCCCTTGATCACGGTTAGCCGTGGTCTTGGCATCGCCCTTGTTCCTATCCTTTAGTTCAGATTGGCAGGAAAATCCCTCAAGTTATCCACATCCAGACTGACAGAGCTGGCCGCCTGCTTTGGGGCATGCCAATTTCCATTCCCATGATCGCCACTGACAACCATTTTGCAGTTTATCTGCAAGATGCTGTTACTGCCCCCCCTTTGACTTCATTGCCGTCTTTAGTTGGGTATTGGATGGCGTGCATCGTGATACGAACCGCCTGGCCGAAAAGGATGTATGCACTCAAAGTTTTGGGTAGTTTTCAAATCTATATATGCCCTGGAATTGCCCATTCAAGTTTCTCAGCCTTTGGATCTTTCATCCTTCTTACACTTGACTCCTGCTTCAGCTTTTTGGAAACATTTCCACATCCTGCGATCTTTACTGAGTGATGGGAAACGATAGCATGCAGTTTATAACACCCAAGGATGGGCCTCGCCGCGGCTCAGTAGCTGGAGGTCACAAAGCTAGGTCCACCAAAATCCTTTCTGACACCGTAGAATCATTCCATGAGGATCTTGATATTAAGGATGGTGATCTGAAGCGCAAGCAAGTGCGTAACCATCATTGCTCGATACCTCCTTTGGCTAAGGTGTTACAGATCTTCAAAGGCTGGGTATTACTATGGTATGTACAGCATGTCATTATTCTGTTGAATTACTAATCGCCGTCCAGGTTGGCCTATCAGTCTACCGGGGTCATATATGGTGACATTGGCACGAGTCCGCTTTACGTCTACTCGTCCACCTTCTCCTCTGAGCCCTCATATACTGACCTCCTTGACGCACTGTCGTTGATCATTTGGCCCATCACCCTGATCATCACCGTCAAGTATGTCTGCATCGTGCTTTGTGCTGGTGGCGAAGACGAAGGCAGAACGTTTGCAATGTACAGCTTGTTAGCTCGCTATGTAAGTTTCTTCGGTCATCCAATGTTTACCTAACTGCCAAACTCAACAAGAGTGTAATATTTCCGTCCACGACCCCAAGACTCGCAGCACAATCAAGTCAGAGCGATACGATTCCAATAGCCTACGGTCAAGTAACAAGAATGTCCGGAGCTTCATGGAGCAAAGCAGCCTTTCGCGTGGCACACTGAAGGCACTTGCTGTCTTTGGAGTGAGCTTGATTCTTGCTGATGGCATTCTGACCCCAGCACAGTCAGTGTTGGGTGCTATCCAAGTGCTCACCATAGCTCCTTTCACCCCATAACGGCTAACTTAAAATTGCAAAGGGTCTGAAGGTAGTAAAACCTGAAATTACAACAAATATGATGGTAGGGATTTCATGCGGCATTCTTATCCTTCTTTTCCTAGTTCAGCCTCTGGATATTCCAAAATCGGGAACGCCTTCGCTCCAGCAGTCCTCATATGGCTATTATCTAACATATGCTTTGGAATTTATGTGGGCAACTATCAAGAACACATTTTGGAAATCATAGCTAACCGAACCAGAACCTCGTCAAGCATGACTACACCGTGTTGAAGGCATTCTCTCCCTACTTCGCTAGAGACTTTCTCGCCCGTAATAAGAGAGACGCCTGGATGGCACTAAGCGGAATCCTCCTTTCATTCACAGTTACCTGAACGTTTCACGCAAATGAATGACGTCTGACACATGACTAGGCGTTGAAGCGCTCTTCGCCAATCTTGGCGCCTTCTCTAAAAGGCACCAAGGTTCAATCTTTTTCTCATACTATGCTAATTTAGTCCAGGGCCATCCAGCTATCGTGTCTTTGCTTCGCATACCCTTCCCTGCTTCTCGCATACATCGGGCAGGCTGCGTTCATCTCTCATGACCCATCCGCGTTCTCGAATCCCTTCTTTAACTGCGTTCCGCCCGGCATGTTCTATCTATCCCTTGTCATTTCTATACTAGCAGCCATTGCGGTTCTCAGGCGATGATCGCGTCATTGTCTCAGCTCTTGTCCCAAGTCATGAACATGAGCTATTTCCCTCAGATCAAGTTGGTTTACACCAGCAAGCGATCCTATGGACAGAGTCATATACCGGTGGCAAATTTGCTATTGATGATCGGAACAGTAATAGTCACTGCAGTATACAACAATGTAGGTGAATTCTTTCCTCTCACCGGAATTCTATTGATACGCAGACTTAGACGACAAGTCTTGGCCAAGCCTACGGAGTTTGTGTCATTCTAGTTACCTTCATCACGATAAACATCATTGCGCTTGTTGTTATTATAGTCTGGCGCCTTAATTAGCTTCTTTTAATCACAATCTGGCTCCCATTTGTCGCACTTGATGGCATTTTCCTCTCATCGGCAATCACAAAGGTGTCAGACGGGGCATGGTTTACGCTTCTCCTCGCCTTCCCCCTGGCTAGCATATGTATTCTCTGGCGATATGGAAAGAGAAGCAGTGGACGGCCGAGAGCAATGATCGCCCCCGTTTAAACCAATTCGTCATCAGGGGGCCGAACGCTGTGGTTCGACTTGCTGATACCTTTGGCGGCAGCGAACTGACACCAATAAAAGGTACGTAACCCCAAACCTATCCCCATCCACAGTAATAGACGCCCCTAATCCTAAAAATCCCCAAGCCTCGGGATCTTCGACAAAGTCGACGACCTGGTCCCCACCGTCTACCTCGAATTCCTTCGCAAATTCGAAGCCCAGCAAGAAGTCCACGTCTTCCTACACCTCCGCGCACTATCCAAGCCATACGTCTCCGCACAAGACAAATACACAATTCAGCAAACCTCACTTCCAAATTGCTATCTCATGACTATCAAGCATGGATATAATGACCGCGCTATCAACGCGGACCTTGGCCGTATTATCTACGAAGAACTGCGGGAGGGAATTGTTCAGAGCATAGATATACCAGATTATTACTCTTCATCAATTACTAGCGAGCCGTCGTCGCGGTCGCAGATATCGGATTCGGCGGTTACGCCTGCACGGCGTGCTCCTTCTTCCCCTCATCCTGGATCCCCCTCTACATCCGCAGTAGAGGGTACAATGCTCGTCAACGAATCATGGATTGAACGTCGTCTTACGGCACTGTATGCAGCGTATAAGCATCAAGTTGTTTATATTGTGGGGAAAGAGCAGATTCGTTTGCTGGTGGACAAGAATAACTTGTTCAAGAGAGCGGTGTTGGGGAGTTTTATTTGGTCGAGAGAGAATACGAGGACGAATCCTGCGCAGTGGAGGTTGCCGGTCGAGAAGTTGGTTGAGGTGGGGTTTGTTAAGGAGGTTTAGGGTGGGTGGGTTTGCGCCTACCGTCCATTGAAGATTGACGGGACGCATGTGAGCTTGCTGGAAATTGTGAGGTAAATTTAGAGTGTTACGTATAGTGTCCTGGAAGTTATAAATTCTTTCTTGGCCCACGCTAGTTCTATGTACTGTTACATATAGGCAGGGTCTACGCTGCATGGTTAACCCATAACCTCCATTCTCTGATAGGAATAACTTTTTGCTGCTTGTTGATCTCTTCATCGCCTTGCCCCTCCTCCTTATCATTACCACTAATCATTTGAAAGAGCCTAGTGGTAGCTTTGAATTGCTAGCCGGATCGGATTCTATTTATTTTCTCGGTCAAGGGCACGAGCTGCATTAATAAGGCACAGACCATTGGTCTTCCAATACATCTCCTCCATGCCAAAAACGCTCTCCTTGAGGTCCCCGTTTGGCTGTGGATTAACCGAGGCTCTGCGGGGTTCTGATACGTCTTCAAGTTTCGTTGTGTGCAAATAGCGGTTGGAGATGGAGACAGGTCTTCTAGAAGAGTTGAAATCTGCAGGTATTTGGATATACTTGAAGACGCAAGCAATATACTACACCTGACTACAGTGGTAAATTATTCATTGCGATGGAAACCGTTGGCTGGGCTTGCACATTATCGAACTTGGGATTTCAGCTTCGAGTAATGCATGTGTGGGGCTAAGAGCATGCTTAGGTAGTGGTCACTATGCCTTGCCTATCCTAATTACTTGCCGGAGACGGTCGACCATTACACTATAACGTACTTCATGGGCGAGTTGCTCACACACCTGAGTTGCTTACTTTTGCTAAGACCCCACCCTAACAAACTCTATTATAGCCCATAACAACCCGCTCTAGCACTATATAGTACAGTACAGCCTAGAATATTATTTAGATACTACTTCTACTTCTTACTTACATATTTGTGTGTTATGCCTAGTCTAATTGCACTATCTGCAGCGCCTTTAGGATAGCTTACCTACTTTAGCTTACACCTGCTTCTTTACCTTCTTTCTATTACTGCGCGCTTTAAACTTTTTTAAAGCTGTTAAGTATAGGCTTTTCTAAATTATTAAGGTTTTTTCTGCCTTAATTTACTTTCTTTTATGTAATTTATATTATATAGTAGCTTTATTAGCTACTTAAAGCTTAGTAATTTTCTATTACACTAATACTAGCTTATATATAATTATTACTACTCTTTTTAAAACTTTTTTAAACACTTTAACTATAGAAGTTAGTAAACTATTTATATACTTTTAAATTTTTATTTTTATAAGTATTAATTATAACTTAAGTTTTAAAGTATTACTTAAAGTTTATAACTACTAAGGCTTATTATATATAAGTAGTAGTAGTAATAAAGTGCGTAACTTTATATTAAAGCTTATTATAACTTATTATAAGTTAAAAGAAACTAATCTAGCGCTTTAAAACTCTTTTTAAATATTACTAAAAGTAATTATAGTATTATAAGCTACTTTAAAGTATAGTAAAAACTTTATTTTTATAATATAAGTAATTTAGTTGCGCATAAGGTTTTTAGCTTAGCACTTATACACTTTTTTTAAAAAAGTAAAATAACTTATATTAAGTAGCTATAAAAAGTATAATAAGTAAAAAAGTATATAAATAGTAATAATTTTATTATTTTTATAGTATTACTAAAAATAAAGTAAGTTATAGCTTTTATAGCTATTAATAACTAGTAAATAGTAGCTACTAATAGTACACTTTTTTATATGCGCATTAAAGTGCTTTAACTAGTCTAAACTAAGCTAATTAGTAGTCTAGCTACACTTAAAAATTATAATAACTTAATTTTAAAGTAGAATTTTTTTATACTAGTTTAAAAAGTAGTTACTACTTTAAAAAATAATAAAAAGTAAAATAGCTTACTTTTTAGCATTAATACTCTAGATAGCTATTGTCTACTTCTAGTTACCTAGCTAGACTACTTTTAGCTGTTCTTATCTTTCTAAATTTATAATAACTGCTTTAGTAGATATCTAGCCTATTATAAACTTTATTTTATTAAAGTTATACATGTTATTATTTTAGATACTATACTTAGCTTTAATATTTTTTATAAAGTTAAACTAGCTTTAAATTACTATAAAATTTTTATAAAAAGCTTTTTTATAGTTATACTTACACTTAAACTTTACTTTAAGCTTTAAGTAACACTTAATAAATATATTAAGCTAGTTTATGCTAATATAGCTTATATTATACTTAGTATATAAAAAATTAGCTATATTAGCTATAGCTACTAGCTAGGGGGGGAATCCTTGCGCATCTAGCTTAAGTATGTGCTAAATAATTACCTACTTTTTATTATTATTTAGCTTTTATAAGTTAGCTGTATAATTAGCTTAAAAAAGTTATCTAGTGTGTTAGTTACTTATTATTTTTTAAAAGACTTTATAAATAGCTGTAGCATGTTACTTAAAAAGTGTTATATTTTATTTAAAAGCTTAAAGTATAAGCTGCATTTAATATTCCTTTAACATGTCTAAGTAGTGTTATTAGAAATGCATTAGTGTAGAAAAAGTAGTATAGTAAGGTTTTAGTAAAAGTAAGCAACTTAGGTGTGTAAGCAACTCGCCTATAAAGTACGTTAGAATGCCAGTGAAGTTATACCCTATAGAAAAAAATTTTTTTTTTTTTTTTTTTTTTTGCCATTGTGGTCTACTATTTTTGCAGATTTCATTCATACAGCTCTAAAGTTTCCGTCTTCGATATCTTCCCGCTTATAATTTCAGAATCCAAATTATTTATAGTACCAAACATGCTTGAGCAAACCCGTTCTCTCAAGGTCATCGACTAAGGCCTGATTCGACAACCTTTGGCAGGAATAAGTTTAACTTGTAGGTGGCGAAGAGCGTTATTAAGGACGGCGAGCGTTAGTGAAGTTAGAATTCCAGCAGTGACTACTTCTGCTAACACCCAGGATGCATAGAAGTGTTTAAGGTTGTATGGAAATGGTAGGTCCTTGCTCTGGTAATGTAGATCAAGTGGACGCCTATTTATGGAATGAATTGGACCATGGTACTGCCCTAGTTTATTATACTTTTCATCGTCACCACTTTCATCCATATCACCAAGCCGCTTAGCTATTCATACAAAGATAGGGCAGGGAGAATGGTCTCTCCTCAAATGTGTTTACTGAATGGGCTGTGGAAACACCTAGTAACGAATGTTGACGAAGAAGCCGATAGACAGGGTGGTGATGCGTGACTATTAGTAGCGATGCTCTTGAACAGGATCCTTGCTACATGATAATCAAGTAGGAGCAAGCTACGTTCTCGCAAAATCTCGCGATACTTGATCGTATGGTGTGCCAGTGTTGCGCCGGTGTTCACTTGGCTAACCCTCGGTAAGTTCAGACGTGGAGAGCGAACTCCTCAGGACCTATCATATTAGCATCCTTCCACCCCGTGCAAACATTAGTCTAAAGAGATTCCAAACAGGCGTGAAATCCCTTCTACAGGAGCATTGTCGTGTGAAGAGCGTTGGACTACAACCTTTTGTTGTTAACCGCAAAGGAAAGAGGCTATGGTGCGACCTTGGCAATACAATTGAGGGGGAACAAGTAGAAGGGTGACCATGCTGAGGAAAAATGCGGATGATGTGGAGTAACGAAAAGTGAATTGATGCTTTGACAATTGGTGACATCTCGTCAAGTGGCGACGCGAATGCAGATGGAGGGGCAAACTTTCGCGGTCGGACTTACGTTTTGGGGTTAGCTAGGTTTTAGCCCAAAGAAGAAGCACATCCGCCCTCTTCTACGGCGGCATCATAGCCTCGGTCGAGCAAAGTCGATTTCCTAAAAGGATAGTTGCAGATAAATACCACAGTTTCAAGCCCTCTAGAAAACACTTTGTATTTAGGAATTCAAGCCTAGTCCACCCTCCCCACGCTTTCATCGAGCACCAAGCCGGTTACGTCACTCCCATAACTCCGTTCACATATCATGTCTACTCTTCCAGCTTTACCCATCTCCATCCAATTGTCTGAAGCCGAGCGCAAATCTGGGAAACTCTCCCAACGCAATCTTGAAACTGCGGCGCGAGCTTTACAGCGAGATGGCCTTGTCGTCATTGAGGATCTTGTCCCACATGACATACTTGATCGGATGAACGAGAAGATGATCAAGGAGGCGTATGAGTTGCAGGGAAAGAAGGATAGTCCGTTTAACTTTAATAAAGGGAATATTCAGCAAGATCCCCTGCTGACAGAAGAGTGGTTTAACGAAGAGGTCTTTGTGAGTAAGTATTTGAGCTTTTGTTTTAGGTATAAGTTTGGTTTCCTCTTGCCATCTCTCAGACAATACTTCACGCCTTCTCCCATTTAATTTTTCAATTTCGAGGACAAAACTATGGACGGATTCTTATTAGCTTGATCCTCGAGATTGCCATCACCTGTGCTTGTGTCCTCACTCTTCTCTTTTAATCCTACTCCCAGCTGAATAAGTCTGACATGTCCTAGACCCCATCACAACCCAAGTGACGTCCACAGCCCTAGGCCCTCAACCCTCTCTCCGGTTCATATCCGGCAATACCGCTCTCCCACCAACATCCACCTCCCCACCAACAGCACAACCCACCCACACCGACGCTGATTTCGACCACCCCTCCCTCCCCTTCGCCCTTGTTATCAACATCCCCCTCATAACCATGACTCCCGAAAACGGGTCCACTGAAATCTGGCTCGGCACGCACGCTTCCACATCCATCGCGGACCAAGAAGGAGCAAGGGGAGATCGAGCCAGTGGGAGGATTAAGAAGGGCTTATTGGAGGAGAGGAAGAAGGTTAGAGGACCCTGCCAACCAGTTGTGAAGAAAGGCAGCGTGGTGGTAAGGGATTTGCGACTTTGGCATGGAGGCATGCCGAATTTAACGGAGGAGCCGAGGGTTATGCTTGCATTGAGTACGTTTCATTCAGCTTCTCTACAACGAGGCACCACTGATCACGACTAACCACCAGTTCATTTCGCACCATGGTATCGCAATCAAATGACCGTTGAATTCGCAAACGAGTTGAAACCACGCTTGACTGTGGAGAAAACGGGACTGCAGGTTGCCGCTAAATTTGTCGCAGGTGGGGAATTAGAGAAGCTGTATTTGAATCGACCGCATGGGAATTTCTACGACTTCGACCAGATTGAAAAGATTGAGGGATTGTTTTGATGGGTGGCAGCTACTCCCCTTGCATGAATTTGCCCGCGACAGCAGACATACAGCCAATAATGACTTTACAGCATGTTAGCAAAATTCTAAGGCTCAGATAAACCCCTTTAATAAGCATGGAGAGCCATTAAAGCTTGACATTGATGTTGTTGGGAAGGAAGTCTACTCCGCTATAAAAAGAGCCTATGCGCGAATTCAGCGCGAGGACGATAACGCGAACGTAATTTTTAGATGCGAGGGCATCTGCATATTTGGAAATAGCTATATTAACGTCCCTCCCCGCGTACTGGAAAACCCACCGTGCCGGAAAATACGAGGGGTACCTCGACTTCACGCGACTATAACTCTGCGCGCACATTAAGCTTTGCTATATTTCTTTATAAGTTGTGTACTATAGCTAATTTTAAACATTTAGGATACCGCCTATTTCTAAATTACATTCGCATCGTCGCCTTTGGGCTTAATTCGCACAGAGCCTCCTTCTGTGGCGTATTAGACTTTCTTCCCTACAGCAACACCTCTATGCCCTTACTACTCTAAATTCTTGTAAAAGAGTTTTATCTAAGCCTTAGAACCCCACTCTAGTGCTAGCAAGTTATAATCAGCTTTGTGTCTGCTGTCGCGCGCAAATTCATGCAAGGTCGCTAAGCGGGTCGGTACTTCCAATTAAAGTAATTACTAATCCCGGTTAGTGAAAAGCGACCCCGCACCTTTTTAATTATCGCGGTGTAATTTATTTATGATGACTGTTAGGCCTGTGGCTGTGCGGAGTCTTGGCAGGCGGGCCTGGCCTCAGCCCTGCATCCTTGCGATCCCTACTTAACCTTGGCCATGCCTCCGGTCAACCAACTTAACTCTCTGAAAATATCTACAGAATTCGCCACCTCACAACCCTATGGCCGGAGCGGGTCGTCCATCCTCCCTGCGAGTGGTGGCGACATCTGGCGCCTGATTACTTAGTTACCGTAAGATATTTAATCATAAGCTTGCTTATGCAGCTATGCGTCGCTTCCTGGCCACACCCAGACATGGGACATGTAGAACAAAGTTGCCTCAGTGTTCAATATCTAGGACTTGTGAAATCTGAGCCTTGGTGCTTCCATGATAACCCTTGGCTCCAACCGCAACTCTTATCGCCGGAATGATCTAGGTATGTGCCCAATGCGACAAGATGTTCAATGCCTCTTTTTCTCAAGCGCAAACAGATCCCATCCGTGTGATCCTAGCCTCGACCCTAACGAAGCTAATACATCTGCTGTTCGAGTCGTTCAAACATCAATGCTGAATCAGATCGCATGTGAACCCTGACAGTAATCTCGTAGCCAAAATGCGTCATAAACCTGCCACGTAACTGCTAGCTTGTCTTTTCTCTGAGTAGAACTAGAAGCTTTAAGCACTTCCTCTATAGCATTGCCAGGCTTATCAGCCCTCTGCTAAAGGTAGGTGCCCCAGAGTTGTTGGTTTGTAGCCTCGAAAGTGCGCTTAAGAGGGTGATTGATATGTATACATACAATCAAATCAAAGCATACCGATTTGTCTCTTCCGGCCCTCTCTGACCTTCAACACACCAAGCCCATCTCCAAGAGAATTAGGCATTTGATGGTCTTCGCTATCCCTAATATCACTAAATGAAGTACGTGCAAGTAGTGGGTTGGCCCAAACAGTAGGGGACCGCGTTCGCGCAAGTTTTGCCCTCCTACTTGTAAAGTTGCTAAGAGAGAGCTTCTTGAGCGGGGTTCTAAGAGCCAGAACCGCCGCTATCTTCTCCTCTGGAGACACACTCCTGTTAAAGGACACCAACTTTCCTCTCGGCCGGAGCTTCGGTCGGCTTCGGCTCCGCCGCACCCTTAACATCTGAAATCATGGCATTGAACCACACAGAAATCGCCGTAGCATTGTTTGCACCTGACGGGATGTTCGCAAACTCTGGCGGCACACTCCCGTTTGCAAGCGGAAATGCTCTGGGTGGACTACTGAAGCCAGGTCGTTGTGGAAGACCTTGGCTGCATTTTATGGGCGGGCTGGTGAGGGATAGAGCGACGGAAGCGCCCACGGAGGAGAACATAGCTTGGCAATAGCTGTTTAGATGATCAGATGAAAGTGACTCATTCTAGCTAAGAGAGTTGAAAGCTCTCCTTCTATACACAGAGCATCGGAACAAACTATCTCCAAATCCCGAGCCGCAGACCAGGCTCCGAGCTCTAGCCAAGGCTCTTAGTATACGCGACAGGTAACATAACAGCTTTGCATTTAGCACAGAAATGGTCTGCTTTATAGCCCCTAGGTTTAAGAACGATGAACCCTGCTGAAGAGCGGATCTCTGGCCGAGGGTGGAGCAAATCGAAGGTGATCATCCTGAGATGATTCAAATCTTGTAATGATGATCGCAATCGGCTATTTTTAAGACTGTCATAGTAGTATTTGCCAGGACTTGGGGGAACGAGTTCCTTATAGAGGACAAATAGGATCTCCAGGAAAACACAACCAAGAGAGAATATGTCCGATTTCGAATTTCGAGGGCTATAATTGCTCACTTCTAGGGCACAGTATTTTCTTGTAAAAGCTTGAGGCATGCCGGTGGTAGTGCTTCGACCAATTGCGCTATGATCAAGGGAGTATCCGAAATCTGCATAGATTATAGAACCTTTATGGATCAGAATATTCTGAGGCTTTATGTCCTTATGTTGAATCTTTTGGCGATGCATGAATGCTAAACCGCTAGCTAGACACCCAAAGGAAGATTCGAGTACTTTAGTTTTCTCTGGTTGTACTAACTGGGCGGCTTTTGCTTCCTTGAAATCCTGCAGGAAGGTCCCGAGGTCCCCGCCATCAGCAACTGGATAAAGTATTAGCCCGACTTCACGTTTGGCGACATAGGTGGCAAAGACGCGAATGACATGGTGGTGAGGCGCAAGGCGTTGTATGATCTTGATCTCGTTATCGAAAATGTGTTTTCTTTCACTGCAGGATCCATATATCGGGAACACCTTGCGGGCAAAGACGGTTCCAGTATTGACATCTTCAACCATCTCCACATTAGCACTGTGACTGTGTCCCAAGTTTCTGACAAGCTTGTATGGCAATTGGGCATCTGCCTCACAAGAGTAGTCATCTCCTTCTCGAATTACTAATATCGACGGTGTTGCAATCGTGCTGCTTTTTGGAAATAGATTAGGGGATGTCGAGGTTAGGTGTTGTTGCCACTTCGAAGTCGATAATGGAGCAGAGTGGCTAGCGCCAAGAGATGTTGAGCACAGACTGCGATCTGGTCTAATCTGATCTGGGGTGGTGGAAATCTGGAACCTCGCATCGGAACCACGGCGGAGATCCCAAACTGGGTGCCCATGGCCAGCCTGGCCATGGCAACAAATCTCGCGCAGAAGGGCCCCGGCCGACCTGGCGTTATCCTCCCTGCGGCAACCTTGCCCAGTCTAGGGCCATTTTTCCTGTTTTCCTTTCGCTGTGAAGATTGATGGCTCTTCCTTGTATGCGGAGGCAGGAGCAGGGGATGTTGTTAGTTGTTGTGATTGGCTAAGCGTGGCGATCAGTTCGCCTCGGCAGCAACGGATGCTTGGCGCCGTTGCTGAGTCAACTAACGCGCCATCCTCCAACTACGTCCTGTTTGCGCGACGGCCATCATCAACTTCGCGATGCAGTGCGGCTTATGGCCATGTTCTCGTCGCACGCCTCTATAACAAAGGACTCACACATCACACCGCCTTCGAGTTTCGCAGCCCATCCTCTAACGCCGCCGCCGACCGACGAGAAGCTTTTCGCGCATGCCCCTAGAGTTATCGCGCTTTTCAAAGAGATCCGGGCTGGAAGGCACGCCAAGCGAGAGCCGTGGACTGAGTTTCAGCTCTCGGCAGGAGAGTACGATGAGATAGAGCGTCAACTGGAGCAGGACGAGGACCTGTCGGGATACGTCAAAGACAAGATACGGTGCGTGCGTTGCCAAAATGTTATTGATGGCTGCTGACAATAGAGATATGGCAGGTATGATTACAGCACAGAAAGTGATTGTTTGGTCGTCCGCATACCTACGGCCGTACACGAATTGTTCGTGGCTCGCATTGAAGATGCCATATTCAGCCAGCTGAAATCGATTCGTGACGGTCTTGGTGCCGCAGCAAGATTTGCTGAGAAGGTGTACCCAGCTCGTTCTACGGAAGTACACTTTCCAGTCCACAATACTGCATCCGGCAGAATTTCGAAACACGAGCCGGACGCGTCTTTTTCGCACGAAGATGCGCAATACCCTGGGGTTGTGATTGAAGTGGCATATTCACAGAAGAAGAAGAGGCTGGGCCGGTTAGCTGAAGACTACCTTCTGGACTCAGACGCGAGCGTGCGAGTTGTGGTAGGTCTTGATATCGAATACGGGAGTCGAGAGTCGCGCGAGGCCACTTTGTCGGTATGGCGGTCTCGAATCTTCAACACGGATGATGGAGTTGAGCTACGAGTTGTCAATGAAGTTGCAGATGAAGTGAGCACTCACTTAATCGGACATCTCATGTCTTTGGTTACTAACACATCGCATGCGTTTCGCGACGAAGGAGGCAACTCTACGGATCACCCAGGCATACAACTTCAACTGGCTGACTTTGCTTGTGAGGAACTTACAGGGGACGTGATCCATATTGAAGGACTGAATGTCACTGTATCCGGCCAGGATCTTTGTCAATATCTTGCTGCAGCAGAAGCCAAATTGCGAGGACAGAGGACACTCATCAAACACTCGATCCTCCCTGAAGTGAAGAAGCGCAAACGATCGGAAACACTACCAGAGACGATGGTTTCTGATGATGAGGCAAAATATAAGGCGGAGGAGGAGCGAGCAGTGAAGCGTGTTGCAGACCATGATCTTAACTACAGAGATACGTAATTGACAGCTCGTTAGACTAACAGCACGTTGCGTATCATTACTCGTGGCGGCGGCTTTTGACCCAATTGCCGAATCACAACAATTGAATTATCGCATGATCGCCAAGGAGGTGGCAAATAATGTACTAATTCCAGAGTTGACGCCGGGCACATTAAAGTCTTCGGCTGTGCCTCAGCGGATCTTATTTCGGACGATCGTGGATCTCACTGACATTTGATCAACCCTGGGTAGGGTTGATACTGTATCCGGAGCGACTTGGTGCCGCCACACTTCATCGCAACTACACATTTGACTCTTTCTCCCACATTGGAAAAATCCATCACCCTCTTGGTTAGTAAGTCAAATTTTGAATACCTGTGGTAGACGATTAGGCAGCTTATCTATTTTCCCTTACATACAAATTACGTTCTTATCTGCATCTTCACCATCTTGTATGTCCTCCTCTAGCGTCTACTACCGCTTGGCAGCGTTCATTCATATTCTCAATGTATTTCACAAAATCGCACAGCTCCAGTGCTGTCCACTCTTTTCCAATGCATTGCCGCAGTTCTGCAAGGGTTCGCGGAGACCTCTTAGCTACCCTCTGTTTCAACATCCGCCATACATTCTCAATCGGGTTCAAATCTGGAGAGTTAGCAGGCCAGCTCATCTTCTCAATGCCATTGGTATCGTGAAGCTGTTTGGTAAGCTTAGCAGTGTGTGGAGAAGCATTATCTTCCATCAGAATAGCATGCCTCGAACGGTTCTCCGGGTGTTGTGCTACCAAGTCCATGAAATAGTATACCCAAGGAAGAACCCTTTCCCTATGCACTTTGCCGGTTAGTCGGCCCCATTCCTTCTCAACCACTACTATTGGTCCTTTGCTAAACGTCGAGATGCTTCCGTGAATGGTCCATGACGAGTAAGTTCGAAACTTCGGAACACAGCAAGCCTGCTCATACTTCTCTTCTGGCCGACGAGTGACGTACACCCGTCCAAAGCCTTCGGTCAAGAAGGAGCACTCGTCGGTCCAGATGACGCGAGCCCACTGCTCTGGTTTCCAGCTGAGGTGCTCGGTAGCCCATGCCAGGCGCACCTGCTTCTGTGATTCGGTGAGTAGAGGTTTCGCAGTCGCTACACGGCGCCCGTATGACTCCATCTTGAAGGCTGCCAGCAGGGCTTTGCGACCGGCTTGTACGCCTTCCAATCGAGCGATCTCCTCGTACTTCATGCGGCGATGAGCAGCGTCGAGGGTAGCACGAGCAACAAGGCGTCTTCCGGATCTTGTCCGTAATAGCACGCTTTCTGCCCACTTGCTTTTGAGGAGCTTCGACTTTGGATTCGAGCACAGACTGGACAGTCGTCCGCGGCAGCCCCATGGCTGCAGCGATTGTTTCTGATGACCAGTGAGGCAGCTCGGAGAGCGTGAAGATACGACAGCGTTGCTGGTATGTTAGTCGAGTTCCTGGCTGGCGCACTGGGTCTCGGTTCCGTTCCGATGGCCGGAGCGTGACGTGCTGGCGAGGTCTTCGAACTATGCTAGGCATACTTGCTTTCATACATGTTAAGGCCTCTGCAAGTGTCAGGGGTTTTATAGTTGTTAAGAGGTTATTCATTTTCATTTTCATTCCGAGGTGTTCGAGTCGCTGACGAGTTTCTTATCAATGCTGATCTGCAGGCATCACCACGAGAGACTAGCTGCTACCCTCTAAAGAAATTCTAATCATCTCTTACACAACTGCTAGTTTGATTTTTACTTTCTGCCATTAACAAAAATATTCTTGAACGAGTAACTTGACAACTAGTGGCTGTGCATATTCTAGAATGTTCTATGTCAGCAACTACTCCTCTTATAGGTTCTCCAAGATCCGATCGGGTAGGGCTGGGGCCATGTTCGGAAACGTCTTAGCGCGGCGCAACCCCCATGACCAATATCGACCATAGCAACATACCCACGGACATAATTACATGTCTCCCTCATCCACGAAAAAATCAATGGGCCGCAGGGCAACCCTGTGGCCAGTCCGGTTTGGCCATCCTCCCTGCTAGTGGCGAGCCGAAGTATCTTATGTATCAATTGTCAGCTTGTAAGTACCACTAATTATGTTGCCACTAAACCGATTTCGCGTAAGGAGGATGTGGGTCGATAAATCATTACCCAAGCCTGTGGGAGACCTGGATAAAATAGCCTGGCAGTAGCTGTTCAGAAGATCGGATGAAGTGACTCCTGCTATCTAAGAGAGCTGGAGGCTCTCCTTATATACACTGAGCTTCGGAACATAATATCTCCAGATCCCGAGCCGCGTCCCAGGCTCTGAGCCCCAGCCAAGGCTCTCAGTATACGCGACAGTAAGCATTTCCACGGTCAAACGCTATACAGGTAAACGAAGTGTATAGGTAGCGCAATCGCGCCTATTTAACGAAGCCCATTTGCAAGAAAGCAAGCTCTCGCAGAATTTTATAGGTTGGACTTTTATGTTTTGAAGGTCAGTTCCCTTTGTTGGCGTATTTGTCGCTTTTTCAACAACTTAACTATGTATGTAATTATCAAGCCTACCGCAGACTCGAGCGCGCACCTTTGTTCAGGCCCGACCGTCTCGCCGTGAGCTGATGCTTTCGACATGATATAACGCCCTGGAAAGTTGCACTACGTTCTAGCAAAGGCTCCTGGCAGAGAATCTACAGCGAGATGAGAGACAAATGGGGACAGAACCTCACAACGCAGGAACCAATTCCTCCATTCATCATACCCCCCTGGCAGCAGGGGCCAAAGACCTACATAGACAAACATAACGAGACAGCACGGGAGCGACACGACAGGGAGACTGCGACGGATCAAGACCTCAGTATCTACACAGACGGAAGCGGAATGGATGATGGAATTGGTGCCGCTGCAGTGTGCCCGCACACACAGCAGACGTGCAGCGCCTATCCTGGGCTGTCCACGACGTCCACAGTATATGCAGCAGAGCTGTATGGAATCAACCTAGCGCTGCAGATAGCACAAAAGTACGCAGATCGGAACGGAAGCAGACACAACGTCGCGATCTACACAGACAACTAGGCCGCCATATGGTCAGTCAGCAAGGCCGAAGGACGGACAGGAGCCTACATTCGCTGAAAAGGAGGTGCAAACAGCAAGCAGAGGTAGCATGGAGTGCAAAGTGGCGGAAAGAGACAAAAGGCCGAGCCACGTTCAGGAACACACCGGTTCCCACAAAACGAGTACTCAAGCTACACAAAGGCCTCAAAAAAGCGGGACAGTGCCCTCCTCGTGCAGCTGAGGACTGAAAAGATTGGACTGAAAGACTTCCTCTTCAGCCGCAAAGTGCTAGATATAACTAACTCCCGATGCGAATGTGTGAATGCGGAGCGATCAGACAAGCAGTAGCCCACGTTCTGCTCCACTGCAGGACGGACAACGACCTTCGGAACAGGATATTCGGCGACCGCCCAGGACGACATAACCTCCGGACCATCTTCAATAAGCCACAACTAGCCACCAAAGCCATCGAGTATATGGAACAGACGCAGATCCTTGGCAAGTCGGGATCGCAGACGCGTAGATGAAGCCAAGCGCTGGGGGGAGACTGTAGGTATGCAGACGCGACGAACGAGGTGAAGAACCTCTACGAAGCCTAGAAAATGGTTTGCATTAGTATCAGAACGACTTATCTAGATGGGCCCGCCAGCATATTTAGATAATGATTGAGGGAGAAGAGGTAGGTCCTTGGGGACAGCTGGTCTTGTTTTTGCAGGATGAAGCGGGGCGGAGCGGATCAGCAATGATCCGGGACACGTCGGCTGTCCGCCAAGCCCGCCTAACCGGGCATAGCTGCGGAGAGATCGTGGCTGCAACCGTGTAGGAATCAATCAATCAATCAATCAAGTGGACATCCCAACACCGATCTGCCGTTCATCTCCACCCCCACCCAGAATGGATTACCAAAGAATTGTCATTGTTGGTAAACCCGGCTCTGGAAAGACAACACTTAGTAGGCAGCTCGCCCAGATTCTTTCGCTGAAACACGTCGAGATTGACGCCATCCATTGGCAGCCCGACTGGACCCAGCTCAACGCACCCATGATGCGACAACGCGTTGGCGATGCTCTCCCTGTTAACGGCTACTGGATCGCCGATGGCAACTACAAAGTTGTCCGGGAGATAGCCTGGGGCCGAGCCGACACGCTGATATGGCTTGATTACGGCCTGCTGTTCACATTGTGGAGGTTATTCTGCCGCACCCTTGGCCGCATTGTCTTTTGGAAGAAACTATGGAATGGGAATTGGGAGACGCTTGCAAAGCAGTTTGCGTTGGATAAGGATGAGAACCTTTTCTTGTACATGATTGGGACGCATTTGAAGCAGAGGGAGGAATTTCCTGCGGCCCTGAAAGAAACACAGTACTCTCATCTTCGAGTACTGCAGTTTTGGACAGCATTAGAAGTGAATTCATGGGTACATAGTTTGACTCGCGTCTGTTGCTAAGATGAGTCACTGGTCTTGCGCATCTGAGAAATGTATGATGCAATTAATGATTACAGCATTCTTAAGATTTTCCCCTTACAAAACAATTATGCTTCACTACTTGTTGGAAGCGTTACCATGCCCATAAAGGGTAAGGCAACCATTTTACTGGCTAGGAAGCTTAAAGCATTGACACAAACAGGGTGAAAAATCTCGTTTATAGACATCACTCCTGCTCTCTACACTTGTTACTAAGATATTGTCGTCGAAAAGGAAGATGGGAAGTATGAGAGGATTGCGGATATCTCGACGGTCGTATTCGAAAGTCTCGACGGGTCAATGGAGAAGAAGGGTAAGATTGCCAGTCTAGTTTAGTTTGTCATCTACCGCCGATCCTCTGGCAGCCTTATGTCAGTCACTTGGCAGTGCATTTGGTATCATCATGTAGTGTGGCTAATCTGAGTTCATTGGGCAGATCCTCCACTTGCATGGCTTGCGTTGTATGGAGTCTATAATAAGACTTGGGCGAGTAGGTGTATAGGCGTTCGCTGACTGTATGGTAGCCTACACAGAACTGGCTCGGCTGCCTAGATGTTCGTCCTCTCAACACGCATCCTGATATACGTCTATAACCAATACTGGAGTGTTTGCTTAGTATTAACTAATCACATGTTGCTTCCTTAGCTATTGCAGAGTCATTTTGGCTTTTGTACATCCGGGCCCCGGTCTGCTGGGCGTTGGCCTGCATGTCTTGTGCGGGGCCTTTGTCTAACACGGAAGCAGACTGTCTATAGGTGTTGATGTTTGTGGAAGCCTATAACTTTAGACACTTATTAAATTGCTGCATCTTATATGCGTATTAAGTCAAAGTTGAATTTAGATGGGATCAGATATACACGGCCTAATGCGTCTTCAAAGACATATAGAGTTTAGAAAAATCTCCACCGTGTGTCTACGAAGCGTGTTAATCTCATCTCCAGTAAAACATTGTATATTTGCTGGCTGGAAGCACTTCTAATTGATTAGAGTACATTCAAAGATAATCTGCAGAACGTACTAGAGTCGTGACACCAGAGCCAACAATATGGTCAAAGGTACTAGTATATGCTGCAGGATAAGCTGTAAAAGATCCATTAGTCTTTGCTTAAAGTTATGGAGCTTTCCTGTACTGACAAAGGCAGAGGAGAGAACTCACTTGTATTTCCTGGAGTACATTGCGAGTCCTCACATGCTCGTCTTTAATGATCAATGCCGTTTCTCTAATCACATCGAGGCGAGCAGTCGTGTGTTCGGTTTCCAGTCTTGATACGACTTCGTTATGCGATGCTCTTATCGTAGCAGCCTGTGTCTCATATACTGCTTCAAACACATCTTGGTGCTTTAGAATAGCATCAAGTATCCCTCGAGTCGCCATATTAAGATGATTGTAACGTTTCAGATGAGCCAGCGTGAGTTTTGAAACTTCCTCCCTTTAAAATGTACGTATTAGTGCAGTCGTTGTCTAACAGCTTTCTCGCATACCTAAGATCCACAATTATATGCAGATTAAGCTCGTGCCTGAACTTGCTAATCGTTCTTCTAGCGCAGCGATTTGTTCCTTGGCCCACACGCTCCGCAGAGCCTTCCTAATGCTTTCCCATTTGTCTTTCTTGCCCTCAGCCTTTACTGTATTTAGCGCGGCAAGAAGTTCGTCGGCAGTTGAGCTGCACGATTCGCAAAGTCGCTTGAGCGCATCATCGCTAGTGGTAGTTGTGGAATCTCTGATCTTGTTGCTGAGTAGCACAAGGCGAGTTGCTGCAGCCTCAATGTCGACATTCGCCTCAAGGACGCCTACGCTGGACCAGTAGAGCTCCCTAGAATTAGAAAGCAACTTGCTGCTGAAGTCAATAATCTAGGCAATATTGCTGACGAGCCCGATGGCCACAAGCGCCTCCGTCATAGTGTGCAGCGGTTAGCAGGAGCTAATGTTGTTGCGTTGTCTTTTCAAGAGAAGGGGCTGGGCCATCTCCTCAATTAGGCTGACACGAGGCTGATCGTGTGGCGCATGCGCGCGAAAGGCTTCCCACGATTGGCCAGGCCTCGCATATGCCAAGACGATTCAACTGGTTCCCGCCATGCACTGGGGAAGCTGTAACTTAACAAAGGGCGATAAGGGTATTTATGCTTGTAAGGAATGACCCTCACACTAAAAAAAACCCCTTCAACCCCTCCTACATTGTTCTTACACGAAACAGGTTTAGTGGCAACATAATTAGCGGTACTTACCTCTGTACAAGCAGGGGATTAACGCATAAATACTTCAGCTCGCCACTGTGAGCAAGGAGGATGGCCGACCCGTACCGGCACAGACCTTGTAAGGTGGGGAATTCTGTAGGTGTTTTCAAAGAGATGAGATGGTTGACTGGAGGCATGGCCAAGGTTGAGTGGGGATTGCAAGGCTGCGGGGCTCAGGTCAGCTAAGACTCCGCACAGCCACAGGCCTAACAGTCATCATAAACAAATTACACTAAAATGATTACGTAGGCGCGGGGTAGTTTTGCACTAGCCGAAATTAGTAGTTGGTTTGATCAGAAGTACTAACTAGGGTAGCAGCCCTGTATAAATTTGTGCGCGACAGCAGGCACAAAGCTTGTCAGATATGCGCACCTACTGTCAAGACAGGAGGAACGTTTGACGAAAGCTGCTACATAGTACGAGCAATAAGCTCGAACAGTATGTTGCTGCATGTTGCAGCATTTTGCAGCAAATTGCAGCATGTTGCAAGCTGGTCGCGCATAGGGCTAGTGCGCGAGGGACTTAGATCAGCAAAACAAAAAGCTAAGCAACACAAGTAGAGCAGAAAAAGGATTAATAAATAAACACTAATAATATAATTAATTAATTATCTTATATATTATATCTAAACCTATTATTTATCTTAGAAAGCCTAGAAATAGTGCTTTAATCTAACAATTAAGAGTCTTAGTGCCTCTATTAATACAAAATGGCCACCCAGCCTCCTTAAGACGCGACAGTCGTCCTTTAAGACCACACCGACTACAGAGCCTGGATGATGCAGCTGCAATTGAGATGTGTAGCGCACAGCATCTGGCCGCAAGTGGATCCTAAGTTGACCATCTAAATAATCTCTAAACTAAGAGCTCTAGAGATGCTGCTAATAGCTAAGTTTTTACTAGCCTTTAATGTTAAAACGCCTACGCACATAAATAAGCTATTAATAAGCAGTGTTAGAGCCTTTAAAAAAGCTATTAAATACTATAAAATTAAAGCTAATAAGTACAAGAGTAATAAACATAATTATAAAAAAAAGTAATTAAGCTTTTAACAGATTATTATCTTTATCTAGTTAATAGTTAGCCTACATTTACAGTGTACATGCTGTTCCCTAGATTAACTACTTAGACAGTAGATTACAAACTTTAAAGCTATAGTAAGTGTTAATAACTAATTTAAATAAAAACATGTGCATAACTAATATAATACATTTTTAAAGCTGCTAAGAAACGTAAGCATATAGAACCTATAGCTAGCAGAGTATAATTACGCTGCTATAGAAGCAGAGACATAAAATGTTCTAAAAATAACATAGTTTAATGCTGTTATAAAAAACTTTCTAACTACTATAAATAAAGTTGCCCTTTATTAGTCTATAACTTTTTAGAAAAGCAGATAGTTTACACTAAACATAAATTAAAAAAAATAATAAAGCGCTTTTAAAAACATATAATGTTAAGTTATCTAATATATATAAAAAAGTATAAAGCTGCTTTTATAATAAATAACTTATTATACTTTACTAAAAGTAAAAAGACTACCTAAGGCATAAATAAAAACACTTATAGTGTAGAAGTTATAATATTAAGAAAATAAAGTAAACCTTAATATTAATATTATTAAAAAGATAATAGAAAGTTATTTTTAAGCTAAAAACTTACTAAAATAAAAGGCACTAAATGTCTTATATATAGACACATCTATGCACTAAAGGACTACTTTTATGTCTATCTAAATAGAGCACTAAACTAGTAGATGCTAAATAAAAAAGTTAAAAAGCTTATAGCATTAAAGTATAAGTATAACTTAAAATTTTAAAGCCTACTTAAAAAGCAGTGTAAACATAATTTAAAAATACTAATTTTAAAAAGTTTATATATACTTACACTAAAGATATAAAAAAACTAACTTAAAAGCTAAAAAGTATTAAAAGTTAAGATAGCTACATTACTAGCTATAGTTAATTTAAACTAAAATAGATATTTACTAAGAAAATTATTTATTTTTAACTTAAGCTTAATATGCTATATTATAAATAATTTTAATTAAATTTATAACTATTATTTACTAATACTAAAAGACTTTATTTAGTCTAAAAACTTTTATATATAAATTTAAAGCTATAAATTAATTACACTAAGCTTAAAAAGTAAGCATAAAACATATAGTTAAGTATATAGTCTTGTACTATATAATGCTGCACTATGCCTAGACCTGCTGTGCAACCTAGTTTTGTTCTGCCTACTATAATAAAAAGAAATTTAGTAGAACACATAAGTAAAGCTAACTACTTTAAAGGCTTTAAATAAAATAATAATTAAAGATCTTATAAAAATTTATAGCTAATAAGTATTAAAGTACTATCTACTATAAAAGAGCTTATATTATACACACATAATTAACATAAAATCTAAATATAGTCTATAAAAAGCATTAGTAAAGCTATAGCATAAGCGTCTTAGACACTCTAAACTAGCTATACTTTAACACCTTATATAGTAAGCTAAGGGGGTGTAAATTAAAAAAAATTATAATAGTTTAATATAACTTATATAGTAAAGCTAAGATATAATAATAAATTAGCTACACACTATAAATTAGTAATAGTAGACTTAGTAAAAGACTGTTAATTAATTTTTATACATATAAAGTATAAAGCACTATAAAAAAGTAGAGTTAAATACTAATTACTAATAAGTATTTTAGCCTTTAGTAAGACCTTTACTTTAAAAATAATAAGCTTACTAAATTAATTATTAAAGCTTTTATAATTTTTATTCTTTTTCTAAAAAACTATTATAATATTAGTATAAAAGTTATTAAAGCTAATAATAAAATTATAATAGTAAAACTAAAAGTAAAACACTAGCTAGCATTATATAAAATAACTATTAAGCCTTTAGCACTAGATATATAAGCCTAAAACAAAGAAGCTAAACGCTTAAAAAGTATAAATAAAAAGAAGTTATAAGCTATGCAACTAGATGCTAACTTACTATAAAATATATAGCTATACATTACTAAAGCTAGCGTATACCTATATAATTAGACACTAAACTATGCTAATAACTAAAAAACACTATATAAAATCTTCTTTACATAAGTAGCTTTAAATAATAAAGTTATTATATTAATTTAAAAGCTAAGCTTTACATATCTAAAAGCTTATAGCTATAAAGCATTTATAATAACTAATAACACATATTAAAATAAATCTAAGCTATAAAGGCTAGACTTAAAAGTGTAGATTAAATATTTAGTTAAGTACTAATTATTAAACATCTACTGTGTATAGATACTACTACTAGTAAAAGTAATTTATACACATAACATTATTTTTAATAAACACTTAATCTTTAGTAGTAAGCTTAAAGACTTAATAAATAACTTTATATATAACATAGTAAAGAAAATTATTATATATATTAAAATAATTAAGCTTTTAATACTTAGTTATTAGCTAAAAATAAAGTTATTTTATAAAAACAACACTATAGATAATATATTAAATTTTAATAAAGTAGACCTACTAAGCTATTATTAAGAAAAAAGATTAAAGATAACTATTTATCTTCTTTAAATACTCTGCTACCTATAGCATTACTTATGTAGTTAATAGCTAGAGCAGCACTAAAGCTAAGCTAAATAAAGTTATTAAAGACTATACTATAAGCTACAGCCTTTATAGCTAGCATAAAATTTAAAAGTGTAAAAAAGCATAGTAGTAAGACACTAAATAAAGTAGCTGTCTGTACGTAAGTACAGCTGTGTCTGTACACGCGTACGGCTGAATTAGGTTGCCTGAAACGTTGGCTATCTGGCCTGTGCGTTAGGGGCTATGTGTACTTAAGAGCCCTCTTTCTTCGTACGAAGAGAGAGGGCAGTAGTTAATAACAAGAAGATCTTTGCCTGCTCACCTCTTAGTACGCCCCTTAGGCGTACGTTCGTTTAATCGAACCCAGGTTAACTAACAGTAGCATTAATAAAAATACTATTTAAAAGAAAAACACTTTATAAAAGCTAGCTACTACTTTTATTATTAACTTAAAAGTAACTAAAAAAGCACTCTTTACATAAAATATTTAAGGCAGTAGAAAGAACACACTTAGATAGTTATTAAATAATAAAATTCTAAATAAAGGTCTAGATAAAGCTAATTAAGGCAGCTAGACAGCAGATTCTAGATTGTATGTAGGTGTACACCTATAAGCTTAACAAGCACTATAGATTATAAAAATGCAAGGCGCAACTAGTAGTCTATAGTAATTAATAAAGAAACATTACTACATAAGATACCTACGCTGCTACTCTAGTAAGACGCTTATTTTAAATGCTAATAGTAATATCTACACGCTTTAACTTAGAGCTTAAATAATATAATGTAACTAACATGTTTATACATGCAGTAATTAACTGCAATATCTACATGCAGATGCTAAGAGGCTATTAGAAACTAAGTATAATACTAAAGCTTTAAAAAGCACTATATAGCCTATAAATTTTTTTTTTACTCTAGCAACACTATTTTATAACAACTTTTAAAGGCCTTAGGTTTTTAGCTATTCTACATAAACTCTACTGCATAACTAAAGCTAGAATATTTATCTTCTTTTACATAAACAACCTTATTATTGTGTACAAAAAAAGCTCTAAAGCAGATGCACAGCATGTAGTAGACTAGTTACAAGAGAAGTATACTCTAATAAAAGGCAAGAACTTATAATAGTTCTTAAAAGTTAAAATTATTAGAGATTAACAGCAGTAAATAATTTAGCTGTTATAGGCCTTATATATTAATAAGATAGCTAGGCTAGCTAATAAAAAGGACCTATAGCATGCTACACCTATAGGTAGAATTAAACTTATGCTGCAATCTAGTTTTGCAACTCTATTAAAAGTAAATTAATATTAGTAGAAAATTAGATCTCTGCTCTTTACAGCAGTTACTATAAGACTAGACATTGCCTTTACTACATCACGCCTTACACAGTTTCTCACAAATCCCGCATCTAACCATCAGGACGCAGCCGATCGAGTCATCCTGTACCTACATGCGACACGGACGTACGCACTCTAATTAGGAGGAGAAGACTACTTTATAGTAGCAAGTAATGCGTTATTTACAGATAATACACTA